GACTGCAGCTTGCACAGTGGCAGATCACTCCTACTGATCATGCAGCTGGCACCACATCCTAGCAGTTATTGAAAATAAATAAATAAGTAAAAATACTGCTAGCTCATAAACCTCCGAGTCCAACTCACAGTAGTGCTTGTGCCAAAGGGCACCCAAGCTGCAAATCACAGCATAATACACTGTATTATTAACAGCAACCTACAGCAAGACACAAACTCAGCACTAAATCCTGCGTGGAAAACTGCTCCGGATCACCCATCCCATTGCATTTAGGCTTCAGTTACACCACGGCTGTTGCATTGCTCTCGTAGCTCTGCAGGGCAGGGGGGACAAGGTGGCCTTGACCTCCCTCCCGCAGCGGGATCCTCATCCCGGGCCCTGCGAGCTCCTGCTGGAGACCCACCAGAGGGCGGTCGGCGTTGCCTTTTCCCTCCGACTGCATCATTTTCCACCTCTGTGTCCCGGGGAGCCTCACCACTTTTCATCTTCTGCGGCCACTTACAGCTGCATTCTGAAGAGAGTATAATTAGTGTTATCACATGCCACAGATACCTACAGATAACAGAACATGTTTGCTATAGATGAAGTTATTTATTAATTGTAGTCCCTGGCTTGTTGGGGCAGCCTCTTTTAGAGCTGCATCAGAGAGCAGGCCCCCAGATCTCATGGTTGATTATGATGGTATTTATAGGACTGGGGTGCCCACAAAGTTTATGTTGGATTTTTGAAGACTAAAGCTTCTTCTCCTGTTTTATTTATTCAGGAAGATGAAAACTACCATATTAAATGTAGATGCAAAACATTAGACAAAATTAAATCTCTCTTTCTGACCTATGACACACCATTATCAGTGTTGAATTCAGCTTCAAGACCACAGTCATGATATCATGATAATCAGAAATTATCATACCATTAGTATTATACAGCTCCTTACCTCCTGCTTTCATCTTCCTCACTTTCTTGTCTTCTCCAAAACAAGGACCACACAGAGCTGCTTTTCCCTTTTCCTGCACAGCCCAGCCTGCAGGTACAGAAGCTTTCCATCTGTTCTCTTCTCCAGTTCCACCGCCCATCCCATCTCTGCTGTCCTTCCCTGCCTCATCTTCTCACCCTCTTGTGTATCTCTTCTCAAAATCTGTCTGCACTCATGTGCAGCTTCAGCCTATCCTTACCTGTCCAGGCACGGCACAATCTCTCCTTATCTCAAAACACCCTGTACTTCCCCTGTCTGAAGCTATTTTCCTCCAAAACAACCCAAATTCCTTCTTGATTTGTCTTTGTTTCACATTTTTTATTTGTTCTACAAGCAGTCAGAGCAAAAGATTCTTGTTGAAAAAAACACAGCATTAGGAGGGTCAGTCCACATAAGCTGTTCAAAAGGAAGCCAGCAAAACAAGCAAACCAACCCAACCAACAAAACAAATAAGTTTCTCCTCTGCATTTGACCCTTCAGGAAGTCAGAATCACAAAATCCTTTTGGTAACTCTGCATCACCAGGAAGCACCAGACAACAGCAGGCAGAGGTCACAATCCTTTGCTTAAGGAAGAACCTGAGGCTCTCCAGGCTTCCCATGGTACATACCTATGGCAGTGCTACTGTGGAGGGGACACAGGTGACCCCGTTTCAGCTGGGGGGACAACCAAGCCTCTATCACTCGAGAGAGACCCCTCTGCTCACAGCTGCAGTGAGCACCCTGCCCACCGAACAAAGCAGCTGACAGCACTTTCTGTCCTGCCCTGCCAAGGGTCTCTCAGGGAACAGACTGAGTGACATCCTTAGGGACATGTCCCTGCCCTAGGAATCACAGCTCTGCTGGGGAAGCAGGTGGGAGCCTGCCAGGCAGGATCAGACATGGACTCAGGGCAGCAGCAAAGTCACTGCTTACAAAGGCAACTGCTTTTACTGGTGTTTCCCAGCTCCCATTCCATTTGCTTCCTTCTCTTTGCATTATTCCTAGAGCAGCCCTGTGTGGGGATTTTCATTACATGTTGTGCCTCCCCCACAGAGCTCCTCAGGCAAACACAAGTCAGAGGCACCAGGGATGGGCAGAACAGGAGGCACAAGGACACCTGGATTAGAGCCCTGCCATTGTGGGATAAGCACAGGGAATGAAGACATCTTCCTTCTGTGTCATCTTTAGACAACATTAGAAAGTGTTTCTCAGTTCTTGAATCAAGATGAACAAAGGAATTTCAGTGGTAGGGAGACAGATACAGGGAGAGATCTCATGAGCTGCAGGGCTCTGGGACTGCAGCCTTGCTCTGCTGGCTCTGCTGTGTGTTTGGCCAGAGCCAAGACTTTCCTCTGGCTCACCTGCACAAGGCAAGCTCCTCAGTGTGGCTCGAGCTCCAAGATTTGCTCTGTGTCTGCCAAGGTAGTCCCTGCACACAGCTGCCAGATTAACACTGCTTGGGCTGATGTGCCAGATACTGAAATAATACATTAAAAAAAGAGAGTTCATAAAACTCTATCTTTCCATTGCAGTTGGCTCCACCACCACAGCTACATTTCAGGAACAGACAACGGTAGTAAACTAAAATGCTCTGACAAGGTCCTGCCATTAATGGGGAAGGTCAGAGATAACATGAGCAGTGATAACCCACCTAGCAAAGCTTCCTGGGACAGAAGCACCAGATCAGATGATCAGATGATCCAGGCAGGTGAACATTTCACATACAAGCATTTTGTTGAGATTAAGTTAAAATGTTCTTCCCACCTCATTCTCAAGGCACCAATTTTTGATGTTTATTGGCAAAGTGGAATGAGTTACAGGAGTTAAATCCACACTGTAACTAGAAAAACGCACACTTTGCAAGTGTACATCTGTCATGTGAGCTCTGTTACCCACATGGAAACAGCCATTAACTGGCTGGTTTCACCTTAAAAAGATGAAAAGGTAAAAGAGGAGGAGAAACCTTCACAGTTTGCTATGATCCCCAACTACACAGACCACATGCAATGCTTTCCTGGAAGAAGTAAAAGAAACAAAGTTATTGCAAATTACCCTTAATTTGCCTTTTACATAATTTCACACATAATGAAAAATGTCTTCAAAAGCATCTTCTCTTAACTAGATAGAGACACACACATGACATTCAGACAAATTATTTGTAGCAAGCATTTAATTTTGGCCTTAGCACTGTGTTCCTACCTAAAGGGAGAGCTGTGCACAGTTCACCAAATTTTAAACCCAAATTTGGCGGCACCACTTGAGAGCCTCAGAAATCAAACAGCAGCTTTCAAAATAGGACAGAGTTTTTTTCCAAGGAAAAAAAAACCATAACAAAAATATCAAAGAGCAATTTTATTTATCATATTTGGCACAAAACTTACAAGGACTGTTTTGTTCCCTTCTTAAATTTTAGTACAACTAGCAAGGAAAAAAAAGGCATACTAATATATTTAATGAGCTGTACAGCAAGTGACATGTGGAAGGAGGCACCAGAAAGATCTACCAAAAATCAAAGTGCATGAAAAATACCTACTCTGAGCGCCTCATGGTATTGTATTAAGGCACCACTCTTTTAGAAGGTTTACTGGATACATCAAGTGTGCAACTTCTTGGTTTGGAATGTGAGAGTCCTTCAGCCTGCATCAGAACTGGACACTGCAACCTCTGAATGGAACAATGTTTCTCCCATGTTTAAAGGAAGAAACCTTTTTGTGCCCAACATCCTCTCTCAGCCAGGCATGTCACTGCCACATGCTTTGGAAAAGCCAACATAGGTTTTCAGAGTACCAACACTTTACTTCAGAGTTTTAAACTGTAGTGTGCACCAGACCTATGCATTCTTTACAATGGTTTTAGAGAAAAGAAAGGTTGAAGAGACTAAAGTAACATGGGACATACCAGTAAATACATTTAGATACACTTATCAAAAGAACATTTAAGGACTTTTGGGAGCATCTCTTAAAAAAAACATCTGAATAGTGTTATAATCCGAAATAATTAAATACACTTTTCAACAGATCATTACTAACTTCTTTCAGGACTACCAACCAAGTCTGACAAATTCCACAAGACTTCAGGAACTTTCAGTAAGGACGTAGAAAAAGCCCAGTATTAGACAGTGGGAGGAGATTTTCATAATTGGAAACATTTAATGTACATCCTGTAACTGCAAATCATGTTATACAGGTGTGTATATTACACATGTACACACACTCACACACTGAAACATCATTACAAGGGCCAAACAAACACCTCATTGCTCTGAGGTGTGTTTTGCACATCACCGCTCTGAAGTATGACAGAAGCTGCACCAGGTTTATTATTTCAGCACCTTCATTAAGAATTTTTTGTTTAAGAACCAAACCACTTCAGTTACAGGTGCCACAGGCCAGATTCACACCAAGTGTAAACAGGTTCCAAACAACCAAAGAGAAGTTGCATCTGCTTCTTACCAGCTTTGACTTTGGTTTTTCTGCTCAGCTGGATCACCAGTTGCCTTTACTTGCAGGAAGAAGTTCAGTAAGAAACCAATGCCCGTATCAAAACTGAAGTGGGAACCAGTAAATGCAGAATATTGTTATCAAACCACTGTACAACACCTCTACTGTAGAGAGTTTCAAACATCTCAGGAGCTTGAGACTGCTTAACCTGAACTCTGGAAAAACATATTTCTCTATGGACATGCAAAGGCATTTAAATATGAACTCTAGGCATTACAATATTTCTTTTTTTTGTCCTCTTATAGCATAGACCTCGAGAACACAACTGTGTGCCCCATTATAAAACCAAAGCACCCTTGAGCATTAAAAATTCTAAACAGCAAGGGTTGGAAAGAAGGGCATCTGGAAGTGATCTACACATTACTGAGCATGGCGTTTCACAAGTCTCTGAACAGTTTAGTTCATACTTTCTGGGATAACTTTCCCAATACCTTTGTCCCAATACAGAGCTGTAGTTTTCAGTAACTCTTTTACCCCTGCATTCTTTGCTACCACATATAAAACGTGCCACAGAAGTGGCAGTCAGGGCTAAACATTTAACAACATGTCCTTTTCATCCTTTATTAACAATTACATTTATTTCATGATTTGTATGTAAGTCATGTAGCAATGTAACATTGGTGTTATACACTGTGCTTCCGTTCTCTGGCACTTGGAGGAGGAATTCATTTCCAGATTGTCACATCTTGCTGAAGCATTCCTTTGCATTTGTCCAAACCTGAATTCCCTTTTAAAAGAACAGTTAAAAAAATCAATAGGTGGGCATATATTCTATTTGCAAACCTCATCCACAACTTTCTTCAACAGAAGACTCTACAAGGAAGTCCCACAGAACTTCAGAGAAGAAGGCAGAGACCATATTGAAATTGGACCACCCTGTCTATTTTATATCTATATCTATCCCAACATTAACATGTCACTGAGTTCAAGAGGACAGACTATGTGGGAGGTTTTATGGTAGTGATTTCCAATCTTCTGTGACTGCCACGTTCCCAGTTACTGACAGTACATCTGCCCCCCTGCTGACAGGACAAACACACTGGGCCAGCCTTTCCCAAGCCACACATACCTTTTTGCACATGCTAATCTGCATAACGGCATAGCTTATAAGTGCCTCCTTCAAATCATGATTCTTCTGCTCTTTAAACCGTTCAATGTCAGCCCAGGCACTTTTCACAAAGTCTCTGAAATTTAAAACAATGACTTCTGTTAGCAAGTGTTTTACATGTTCCACCCTCAGCAGAGAAGCTGTGTATGACAGAGTGCTCCATCTTTCAGTCAGCAAATCAAGTCCTGCAAATATTACGCATCTCTCAGTGTTCTCATTTTACAATTGACACCACTACCTAATTCTCCATTTTCTTTTTAAGGTTTTTAATCTAGAGTTTCACAGGATACATTAGGATGTTTGCCTGGTTTGGTGTTTTTTCCCCAGGAAGTATCACTGCCATAGAATCAGCATAAGTCAGAATATACTTTTTTCCTTCAGATTCTGTTGGGGGAACTAATTATCTTTAAGCCATCATTCAGCACACAACACTGCATGTTTCTTTTTCAATTGTCAAGTCAGAATCTTCATCTCTTCAGTGTGAAAACTCACTTGTTTGTCAGGATATGAGACACTCAAGTACAATAAGCATTTACAATGTAAATTTAACTTGGGTAATTCACTTCAGAAATTAATTTTGTTGGTTTGGTGATGTGTAGTCAGGTCTCCTTAACTAAAATGGAGGCATATATCTGTAATTCCTACTTTCATTTGTGCTGGACTAGCATTCACTTGAAAATTGCTTCCAGAGCTACAAAAGCACATCTCTAATACATCTGCCAAAATTATTAAGATACTGCATTTACTGAGTGTTGTTGCTTTGAACTATTCATGAACTAGTCTTATCTTTCTATATCTAATGCTAACATATCAGGAGAGACCACGTTTACCCCTTGTGTTATATGACAGACATGCTTTGACAAAATCCCGTTGCTTTAAGAATGTTAGTTCCTATTTTTAATTTTTGCACACCTGAAGAAAATTTCATTTTAGCACCAAGAAGCAATTACCCAAACACAACTCCCCAGACCTTCTAATCTCTTTCAAACAGGAGTAAGGTGTCCCCCACAGAAGTTGCAGAATATGGTCTCAGTACCCTTACACATAAACCAAACTAAAATACTGTATTTGAAGCAAATCAGCCTTTGAGTCTCTGCCTATTCAGCTGCAGACCTCCAAGCCCACCTGCTAAATATATTGGTAGTGGAACATAAAAGCATGCAAGCCAGCCATTAGAGTGGGCTCAGTAACTGGGAAAGTCATCAGGTTTTACATAAGCCATACACTCAGACCAGAAGCTAACTGCATGTACTGCACTTTATTTCACAACTTGCAGCTGACAGGAGCTTTTATAGACAGCTCATAAACACCAAGAATATATTAAAAACACTTATAAAATGCAAACACCTTCAAGAGCATCCAGTCAAGGACTTTTGCTAAGACAAGCCCTGTGTTTTCCTTGAAACAGTCAAGTCCATTTACCTGCCCTCCAGATTTTTAGACTTCAGTTGCTCTTCTCCTTCCTGTATCTGCTCTTCTAGAACCTTTATCTTGGCTTCCCTCTGCTCAGGGGTTTCTTGCCCAAAGAGCTTGCTGGTCATCCCCTTCAGGGAGAAGGTTCTCACAGTCTACAAAAGTAAGGATACTCTAGGTTTAGCATGTTCTGAGCACCACCACAGGACATCAGGTGACTTTTATTGTCATTTGTGCTTACAATTTGGCTGTCCATTTCATTATTTGATAAGTAGCTCTAGTGACTCAGGTTAGACTAAGCAAAGTGGGGAGGAGATAATTTGATATTCAAACGCTTTAAGGCTGACAAGAGTGAACCTTCAGAACATCCTTCCTAGTAAGTGAAGTAGGAAAGAAACTTAGAGAAACAAAAGCCATAAAGGCATTCCATAAAGAAGATCAATAGATCCAAAAGCAACATTAAAAATTCTAAAACTGTCAGTTACCATTTCTACATAATATTTTAGGTAATGTCATCTCCCATATAAAATGGAGTAACACAACGTATCAATAACACCCACTGTTCAAAAGGCAAAGGAAGTCTTTCAAAATTCCCAACATTTTTATCTTTAGGATAGAGTTCTCTATAGACAGAGTGTTAGTCTGCTCAAGTCATATTTACTGCAACCTTTTACTTGCTCAGTATTCAATAAAAGACATTTGGCACAAACAGTTTAAGTCTCCAAGAACCAAGTTACTTTAAACCTCACATGTCTCCAGCTCATATGATACCACTTCTCAAAAGCAGCAGCCAGAATGCTGGTGCCATTTAAATATCATTCTAAGTAACTTGGCTCAAGTAAAAAATAAATTCAGAAAGAGGTATCTTGGAGAAGAAAGTGGAAAAAGACTCACTCCTGTTGCCAGCTCCTCACACTGCTGTTTCTTAGATGTTAAGTCTTGTGCAGCCATTTCCAAATCATATTGCATTAGTTCATGCTTCCTGCAAACTGCCCTGAAAAGTAAGTAATGAAAGATCTGTCATTAAAGACTTTGTTTTGCTATGTTTCCCTCCATTTACACTTTACAAACAGCATCATGTTTTATTTGCTTTTTGACAGGAAGCACCTGTAATTATTAATCTAGCCCAAATTCAACAGCCCTATCACAGACTGCGTATCTCTGCAAATGCTGTAGTAAAGCAAGCTTGCATCAAAGAATAAAGTTCTTATTACAACAGCATTCTGCTTCTCTTTATAGAATCATTCCAAGATACCCTCAGCAATACAAGCCCTACCACCTCCTTAAGGACACCAATGTAAAACAGTTTAATTCAAAATACATTACAGAAATATCACAGCTTTGACAAAAGATACCTGGAGAAGGTGCCTGTCACAGCAGCACTCTATCAATCAATCATAAAATTCATCACATATTCTTTTTTAAACAATGAGATAAGAAACTGCTTCTAGACTCACACAGTGCCTTTCATCTGGCAAAGAGGAGTTTGCTCTGACCACCTGCAGTAACTCCCAGTCCTGTGTGGGCTGATGATGCTACATCCGGATGCACGTTTGTGTCCCAGGAGAGGCTACCAGTGCTCCAGGTTCCCACACAGCAGCCCTGCACTCGCCAGCCCAACTCACTGCTGGACCTCTGCAAGAGCTTCAGAGCCAGCCCTTGTAAATCACAATAGCTTTAGGCACAGCCTTGTAGCATAAAGCAATTCGCTTTTGTGTCCATGCTTGTTAGGGGTGACTGACAAAGACTAACATAAAACAAAACAAAAAGTTGGTATTTAAATGCACAAGACTGTGCAGCAGATGGAAGTTATGCTGAGCACTTTAAAGTTTCTCGAATTTATAATGGCTCTAACAGCTCTGTTTGGCCTAGCTCATTTGAAAACTGGAACTTTCAACACATTGGGGCACTATTACACCAAAAGCCAAGGAACCAGAGGAATAAACAGCATTTTCTTCTATAGTATACAGATTCTAACATTTCTGTCTTTTCACTACTGATCAGATCAGTTCTAATTTGTATTGCCACTCACATGACAATTAAGTACAAGTATGCAGAATAAGAAACAAGGACATGGAGACTCCACAACACTGGAATTTCCTCTTCTCAGAGAACACAAGAGGATACCAGACTAAATTAAACATCACACCAACATCACATTAGAGAAAAGGAATACAGCTTCCTTTTGAGCTCTAGACTTCCGTACATACCGCAGTGCTTCAGCATAGAAGAGATACTCCTTCAGCTGGTCTGCATAGTGCTCCTCTTCTTCCAGTATATCATCAATAGAAGCTGCATATCTAGTGAAAAACAGCCACAGTTAAACATAAAGCTGATTAATTTAACCTTTAAGGATACACATCCTAACAAGGGACAACACCTTTTTGAGAGAAACACCTGTGAAAAACAGCAAAAAGCACCTCCAAAAAGGGTTTATTCTTTGTTTTTAATTAAACTCTGAATCAGTTAATGTCAACATTCCTGTGGGTCTGCTTTTTTTGGTTGTTATATTGATTCATTGTACAATGAATCTTTTGACAAGTACAAAACCTATCATAAGTCTCCTGCTGAAGATAAGGCAGCTTTTCTTACAGGAAAAAGCCCCAATTTCTTCCATTTCTTCAGTGGACAGTCAATATGCAGCACCAAGACAAAAAGAAAAAAAAGGACATAGTGCAAAAGAAATCCAATAAATCCTTCAAGGCTTAAAGCATTAAGGGCCAGGAATGTGGGCATCACACCTTCTGAAAAGCAGAGCTGCTTTCATGGCTTGTTATTCAGCCTGAGTACAAGATAACTCACAGGGGTGCCCTGAGCACCACAACATTAGGTCCCTTCAGATCCTTCAAAGGCTACAGCTTTGTCTGCTGTGTAAGGCATGTTAATTCACAGCAACAGGAAGTTGAACCCTCCTTTTAGGGAGAAATCTGAAGTACAACGGCTTGGACCAAATCTGCAGCTCTTGCATTCAGTAAGTCTTGTTATTTAGGCTAGAAGTGGTAAAAAGCACTTTATTTTTCTAGTTGATACTGCTTATTTGACAGTATTTAGAGTGTTCTTGCTAACCAAGGTAACTGTCTTGGACAGATTTGTAGGGATAGGCCTACAACTAAGAAAGAGATAACTGCACATCTCACTTGGCACAGCCAAGAAATCAGATTCCTCTGTGGCCTGGCACTCAGGGCATGTACCACTGGAGATAACCAGGATGAATGAGATCCCACACAAATACCTTCACCTGTTCTGCTAACTCAGTCTGGATTCTCAGCTCTGTGGCAATCTCATACACCTGCAGGCTCTCTGAAGTGAGCATATGTCCATTCTTCTCTAGCAACCAGCACAATGTGACCCAAATGCTAATTATAGCACCTCTTGGCTTTCAAGTTTTTGCAGAATCTTTCTGTTTTTTCTTTTCTCCCTATGCATCTCCAGTAATTGGCTCAGTGAAAGAAGTGGCAGAGTCTCAAGCTGAAAGGGAAGGGGTAACATGAATTTGGGAAGTTTGCAAGCATGATGAGTTGTTTTGATGCTCTGTGAAATCAAAGACATGGCTCACCCAGGAAAAGCCCTACCAAGGCTCTTGGTGATGAATAAATATAACATATGAAGTGGTCAGCAACAGCAGACCAGTTTAAGTAGAAGGGATTAAAGAACAGGGAGAACAAGAATTCATATTATGAATCAACATAAGGATCAAGTCAAAACTGTTGAAAAATACACTTGTTCTAAAAAAAACCTGCAGCCACAAAGGTCATAAATGGCTTGCCCTATTTTAAGTTCTGCAGTGCAATAATTTTAGTATAGTGGTTAGATTTCTCAGGGCAGCAGATGGACCACATTTCGTTTTCAAGTAAGATCTAAGTTTAGAGCAGTGCTAGAGATCATCTGTGGCAGATCAACTCTCAGAAAAGAACTTCAAAAACAAACAACCAAAAAATCTCACCAAACGAAATCCTACCTTACCTGGGCAGGTTTTTATAATGAGTTTTATATGGGAGGAAAAAAATGTAATAAGAAAAGCTACATTTCTGACTGCCTAAACTTAGGCAAATTAGAGAAATTGTTAAGGAGAAACATGGCAGTAAGTTCTAAAGGTACCTGATATGGTCTCATTCTTCGTGTAAGATGTCAACTCAACCCTTGTTTTAATTTAGATTGGTTCAATATATAATGACAGTCTAGTTGATACAGAGATAAAGGTTCACTCATTAATGGAACAAAGGACAGAAGTCAAAGGTCTGGCATTTGCTTCTTTCATCTTTTAAATGCTAGCTAGAGCCACTTACTCCAACTTTCTCAGCATTCTCTGTCACTTTAGTAAGCCTCATCTTGTAATAAAGCACACACCCAGAGAAGCTTTGGGATGTCTTCTCCAAACTTTTAGCAGTTATAGATCATACTAACCAATAAAACCTCAAAAGCTTAAATAAACATCTAGTAAAGACTACAGCATATGGGGTAGATAGAGAATAATTAAATTAGTTTTGAAGTTTAACATCTGTATTAGGCAATCTTCTAGAAGTAGCTTTTTGTTGCAATAAATTCCCACCTGATGTTATGGGAATGGTAACTGAACTGGTAAGTTACACTTTAAAGAGATCACAGATATGAACCTTACTGGTAGGAGACCCCATGGGTGACTGAATGAGTTCCTGAACCTCACAACTGCTGCTTCTTGCTTGACTGTCATCACTAAGGGATTACTGTTGTACAAGAGTGCCAGAGCACAGGAGATGACAGACAATGAAAGCTACTCAGACTTCATGCAGTGGGTAAAATTACCCACAATAGCAGTTACCCACTGCCATTACTTTGGATCTTTAGCCCTGTGTTACAGACAGAAATATTAAATATTATGGAAGTGTGAGAGGGTTCAGCCTTCTGACTGAGAAGTTAGACAAACTTCTTCTAACTGGTTATGCATTTCCAGGTGCTTGACATTTTGGTGTGGTGTATCTGAACCACTGAAAACCTTTATGTGATTCTTTAACTCCACTATATCATACCAAGTTTTCACAATCTCTTCAATTCCTACCTACTGCAGTATGTGCTTAACATTGTATTCTACCCCTGCTTCAATTACTTTTCTTCTGAAAACAGAATGCAATTCTCCATTCTTTGTTCTCACCAGAGCCCTCTGCCATGAAAATATTACAGCTTTTCTTATATGGAAACCACCCCATTAGACAAAACACAGACCTGTGAATAAATTCAGAAGTGGTCCAATTCTTAAAGATTTGCTAAAAGCAGAAAAGAAACTCTAAAGAAACTGAGGGCATGGCTCTTCAAACCCTTCCACTTGGCAAGGCCAGTAACAATTAACCTGTTAACCTGACACCACAATAACAATCAGGCAGTAGTACATATGTAAATCTGCCCTATAAACTAAACCAGGGAACTTTATTTCCACAGGAATTACACTTTATCAGTAAAAATATTGCATGAAGTGCAGAACAGCTTCCATCTCTTTCTGAAGTTGTTGTTTATCTGCTGTGTGGGATTACAGAAGAGGAATCAGAGTGGTAAGAAATGCTGTGTCACTTGCTGTATGTGACTACCTGAAAAGCAGAAGCCATGAGCTTAGAATACCACTTCTGTGAGCACTCCCAAGTGCCAGACTCTTATTTTGAAGGCTGTGCTTCACATACTCTGCCAAATGACTCTAAAGATGCAAAGAGAGAGGATTCTTTATTATATCCAGTCAGTGTTTGTTTCAAGAATCCACTGGAGTTTTGGTACAGATTAATTAAATTTCTTAACTCCCTGTAATTAAGTCCAAATATGTGTACCATCTACAGCATGGTACAAAACGCTGCTATCAAAACCAAATGGATCTCATCAGGTCTGTAGTATATTAAAGTTGTATTCCACCAGTTTCTGGCATAGTAGCTTAAAAGAAAAACTGGAAGGATTCCAAGAACTTCTACGATTTCAAAATAATAATAAAAAAAGAAACCCCTCTGGTTCTCCTGAGGCTTTTTGAGCTACTTAATACAGTATATGGATGCTAAAACTGTGCCTGCATCCAAGGCACAGAAACACTGTATACCTAAAAACAATGCACCCCCAACTTTCCTGTACTCATATGTACTTTGGGGTTGAGGGAAAAGAAAGGAAAGAGGGAGAGTTTCACATCTGGCTTACATCAAACTATCAGATATTCAGTCAGTACTTACACATCCATGTGGTGGCCAGCACTCTGCAACCCATCCCCCATCTCCTTCTCTATTGCACTCCACTCACTGTAGGAAAAACAAACGAGAAACAACATCACACATGAAGGGTAAGGGAAGTTAATAAGCTGCATCCTGTATATAGTTTCTTTCCAGGTGACACCTGAATGGAAACTGCCTCAAAGTTAGAGTTGGCCAAACTGTTTTTTACTTTAAGGAACAGCACTGACAATGTGACAAGGCCATTTATGGCACTCTGTAAAACAATTGTCCCTAAACTCATAGACACAAATATAGTTTTAGGATGGGTTTTGAGCATAATCTCATTTAAATAGTTGAAACTCAATTCAAAACAAAATCAAACAAACAAAACCAAACCACCAAGCACTTAATGTAAATGGGACAAGGGACAATGACAATGGTGAACTTGCTGAAATACATTTTGGGCTCACCAAGAAGCCTAATCCTAACCTAAGCTTTCCAGACTTACAAGATAGAAGATAGAAGCCTCTCATTCAAAAAAACAAAGGGTGAATTTGACTTTTGTAAGCATTTTACTTCTCCTGAAACTATTTGATGTATGTAGCTTTATGTTTTCATAGTAGACTCTCGTTTAGTTCTATTCATAAAAAAAAATCCAACTTGCAGTTGTCTCAACTACCCATTTACATTAGAGATATAACTTAGATAAAAAAAAGAAACAGAGCAGTAAAAAAGATAGCAAGAGACTTGTTCTGGACATCCTGGTATGTACTCTGAAATTTTAATTGTGTTCTCAGCTTTGAGAAACCTTATGAGAGTTCTTAGTTACAAGAATTATACCCACAACTCTTTCTACAAGGAAAAAAAGAGGTTCTCCTTGTATTTCGCATAATTTATGTGTAATGCATCTATTCTGTCCCTCACTTTTTCATAAGCATTCCACTCTGCTGATGTTGATATTTGTCTTTGTGTTATTACAGAACTACACCTAATTTCATTTTAAAACCCCCAATGAGAAAGACATCTGCAATCCATTAACCCAGAGAATTAAATTTAGCACTTGAACAGTGTGTAGAAGCAGGAGGTTTCCCTTAACCAGAAGTTTAGATTCTTGAATTCTCCAGTGAGATGGAAAACTTGAGCATGCAATTCCCTCATATAAATCAAAAAAATGATTGGCAAATTCACTTCTAAAAGCTACTAAAATTGGATAGATATGAATGTTGATTTTTACCGATTAAAAGAACCTAGAAGCTTTTTCAGAGATAATTGCATGAAGAATAGCGAGTTACTTTCTGAGGAAGGAAAATGCCAAGGCAGCAGCAGAAGGCCCAAAGCTTTGGTACACAAAGCAAAAAATGCTGTAGTCTTCCACTAGAGGCTAAGCTCAGCAGATCAGGCAATCTCTGCATGTACCACAGAAATCTCATTAGCATTACAATACAGAGTTTTTCAAGACAGATGATGGAATTTTTCAAATATACTTTTCAAAAGCGTAACAATACAACCATGAAATTCCCTTCTCTCTCCCCATAACTATGTATGTATTTAAAAACTGGATGAACTCTTACCTGAATACTCTTCCGTAGTTGCCATGGACTTTATAGACACCATAAAGCCGGTCTGCTACCCTCTAAAATATTTTAGAGACAGGTTTTGGTCATCAACATTAAGTGCAATTGCTTTGTGAAAACCCACATACATACTCCAAGCTAAATCCCTAATGTTCTTACACAGGTAAACAAGATTACACCTAAATCTAACATAAGCCACTACTTAAAGAAAAAAAAAAAAAAAATCAACAGCATTAAGTCTTGGAAGACTGAAGTCACAATCAAGGCTATGCTGAAAAGTAGCATTGCAAATCTATCTTTGGAAGTGCTCATTGATAGGATAGGTCTGTGGAGACCATAATGAAGTTCCCTTCAGTTTTTGATAATCAAATATAAGGCATTCTTTATCCAAATAACGCCGAACTTATGCACACAGTAATTTATTTAATTTATAGACAGCAAGTCAGAAGTCCATCTTGACATCAATACTGTAAGGAAACCTTCAGCAAAATTCTAACAAATGACTTGATTTTTCCATCCAGCTGAGTGAACTGAGGGAAAGGAAATGAACTATCCATTCCAGAAACTCATTGCTTGAGCTAGAGGTCATTTCAGCTGTTTGGAGTGCCAGTACCTGCTGCAGCCTGCATTACAATGCTGGCAAAACATCAGAAGAAAAGACACGTGTACACTCTGAAGTGTGAGTTGTAATCCAGATAATGCCCTTAGAATTGTGATGTACCGATGAATGAGAATAAAGTTCTGCAAGAGCTGCCATTGTTACTGTGATGTCTGTCACAGCAGTAGTAAAAAGGAAACATTAACAAATTGCCCAGCAGATCTCACATGCAATCTAGAAAACAGGACTGTCTGTAGAACATCACTCTTGAGAGTGATTAATTATCTCAAGAACCTGAGTTTAGCAGAGCAATCCATTGCTGTCCTCTCTGCCACACAGGTCCATTGAAAATGAAATCCCTGTTGAACATACTAAAAAGAAATATCATGCTCTCATTATTGGAATTGTAATTTCTTATTTCCTTTTTAGGTCTTTAAAAAAATAACAACCTTCCATTCTCAACCTATAGAGTATCTTAATACATTACATAATTGTTGCCATCATTAGAAAGACTATTACTCATTGCAGATCAGAGAACAAGCCAAAAAAAGAAAATACATACTAGGAAGCATAAAGGATTAAAGGATTCATACTACAAGCTCATTATATGTCTGACCAGAAAACTGTTTTGAGGCCCTTCCCAAGCCAAACACTAAGCAAAAGTAACTTGTCTGCTGAGCAGAGAGAAGCAGATGCCTTGACCCTCTTTAGAGCATCTCCCTGCCATACGTGACTACCACAGGATGGGGCAGATTAGCACTGTCAAACCCAACAATCAGATCTGGAACTCCTTCCCCTCCCAGATCTGTACAAAGTCAGTGCCCTCACCTCTTGCTGTCTCCTGCTCCACACTCTGGAGACAGACTCCCTCAGGCTAAACTGCTCTTATTCTAGAACACATATACCACTTCTCTTGACTAAACAAGAAATACTGCCTTATAAATAAATCATACTATTTGTCACGACACACATGGGAAATACTTACAGCTCTGACTCGCAGAAGGTGTGATATGACAGACTGCAGTTCATCGCTGTAGTGTTTTAGCTCAGTAAATCTCCTGGGAGCAGGAAACAGATAGTACATCATTAGCCATCATGAAAGCAAGCTTTCACAGCATGCACAATAGAGCCACAGCCCTGCGGCCAGCAAGATGGAGCCTGGATTGTGTTGGAGTGGAATTAGCTGAAGACTGCTAAAGAAGTGACTGCTGAGTTTCATTTCCCTCAAGTGAACAAACATCCCAACACTTGCATGATTGCTGGCTTTTTAAATGCAAATGTTGAAGGCTCAGATTGAATTAAGACATAAAATTTTATGAAATAAGAGTAGTTAGCTGAAGTTATTACATCACTGTTTTGTTGTTAGGGGTTTTAATGGGATTTATAAAAGCAAAGGTTAGTGAATAGGAAAGCTTGAAACAAACACAAAGCCAAAATCTGCTGCAGCATATTTCTCAATAAAAGCATGTTTAAATTTCTGACCTGACAAAGATACTTTACTTTCAAGCTGCCTCTATCCAGTTTTGGGCATATCTTTTTAGGGGTTCAAGGAAACATTTACAATTACATTTCTCCCGAGGCTAATCTATACAGTAACTGTAACATATGAAATCCTATTGAGACTTGTACCTGCACCAGAGCCATGTATGGCTGAAGGCCATCAAATCACTACATCTCAATAAGATACCAGACAGGGAAACCATTGCAACTGCCTTGTGCATAATGCTGGCTTGTCACTTCTGGAGAAGAGGCTTTTTATCAGCCAGACCAGTTAGGTTTCAGAAGCAATTTAAGCGGTTACCTTTAGCTCTTGCTAATAACAAAGGTGAATTGTTTGCCACAGCTTTGTTAGTGACAGGTAACCAATTAAACCACAGCAACAGCCTCTTGTGTACACATAAACCCTCCCCACTACACACAAGTCTACCTCATGACCTACTTTGGTACGAAAGAATGTATTTCATCCAGATGGGAAGCCAGAAACAGCTTTACCTAAATTACTAAACAATGATCTCATAAACACAGAAGAATGCAACTAAAATTACGGAATAGGAGACCAAGAATAGTGTTCCAGGTTGATGTTCAAGAATTAAAAAAAACTTCATCCCTCCTCCCACCACAGGCACACAGTCAGGCTTTGTATTTTAGAATAGCTTGTACCAAAGAGGTCTTACTGAAATGAGTTGGGTCACTTGTTTTGGGTGACCAAGTATGAAATTCCAGAGTTTTTTATTTAATACCTCTTCCTCCCCTGACAGGAAGTCTTCCCCTAAAATATTCCCATTCTTACATTCAGGAAGTAAAATCTTTATTATGACTCTAATATTTTTGATTTCCAAGAAGCATTTTTTATAGCATTATGACACACACAGGGTTAAAGTACATAAAAAGATTTAAAAGTTAGCAGAGAAGCTGCATGGGGAAAAAGAAATGTAGTCACTGATCTGCACAGTGGGATTTAGAGAGCAATCTTTTCAGTTTACACTTTATAAAATATGCACCAGGGCTGCATGTCAGACAGCTGCAGACACGTAGAGTGAAGATATTTGAAATAATTGAACTAAAAACAAAAGATTAAAAAGCATGCCTGCAGCTCAGGAAGACTCCCCTTTCCACTCCAGAAATTTATAATGTAAAGTTTTATTTATCCTGTTTAGTCACAAGAAATCTTTTAGGAATGCTGTACTCCCTGAAGGCCAGAGTCAGGAACATACAAGGGCTTTCAGTATCCTGGCCTTCAGCAGCAATACATCTTCTCTCAGACCAATTTTTCCTCAATTAAAAAAAATAATTTTTAAAAATTACTACTTCAGAATTAAGCTGTCTTCTGTTTTGTCTCATAAAAACAAACTGAAGTGCTGCTATTTTTTTCCCAATCTTCTATGAAGGTTGAAAAATTGACAAATATAATTTTCAGGAAAAACTGGTTTTAAGTGACTGGTGGTGTTGCAGAGCAAAAGTTTATTTCTCAATTATTTGCTTAAGTCCTAGTCGTTGCTCATGTAAAAAAAAAAGTTACATAATTATAAAGTAATTTCCAAACAGAGCTCAGTGAGGCACACAAAGGGATGTTTACTTCCCAGTGTATCCTAACAGTAGAAGTGTAAAACAAGACACAGTTTTGGCCCTCAGTAACTGAGGCTTTTTAAACTAGCACTTTTCACTCGGTTTTACTGGTTCTGCAACAGTAGCAACAGTCTAGATACTTAACTGAGCTATTAAATAGAACTTGAGACACAAATGAAGAACTGATTAGGTCACATTGACGTAGAACACCAGCAGGTCTTTCAAAATAATCTTTTATGATTATGGCAAAGAAAAAGAGTTCCTTTACAGCAGACAGCGTTTCAGAGTTAAGTTATTTACTTTGTGCATTTTACTCAGCAGTAATCCTTCTTGCATCAGGAGAGGCAGTGCCATTGTCCTGTTTTGTGAAGAAAGATACTACAAGAACAGAACTGTTCACTAAAAAACAAGCCACTTGTCTGAATAACCAAACAAAACCCACAGAGCTCCTTTAAAAAAAAAAAAAAAGGCCTTAGGAAAGGCTTTAGTATTTTCTAAAGAACTCTTCCACCAAAACCCAAAAGCTATGGTTTTGATTAAAGCTCAGAAAGAGAAAGAAAAGATGAGTGCCATGAGGCCAAATCAGAGATGCCTGCAGTAGATAGAAATTTACCTCTGAGTACCAGAATACCATATTTTTATCACCATTTAATTCCACCATTGAAACTACAAATTGCTTCCCACAGGAGAAGGTTTAGTTTCCAGTGTACATTTGAGCTCAAAGAGCAGCCTTGTTTCAGCTGCATGAAACTCCTCACATTGCCAAGCTGACGAGTGCAGCTCCATGGCAATCCCAACTGGGAGCTGCAGCTGCTCCTCACCTGAACCTCTCCTGGCCCAGGAGCCTGAAAGCCTACACTCCTCACAGCAGTCAAGTCACACCTTTTGTTTCAGCAAGGTGAGCTTGCTGAACCGCTTCACCAGCCAGGCACACAAAAGCACTAAAGGTAAAGCAGAGGGACCAGGCATCACATTCCAGGCAGCTCATGCACAAGTGTGCTGGGCAGAGCAAGGCACTGTGCCTCCTCTTAGAGCCAAGCATGCTACAGCAAAAGGCAAACAAACAACTTCTGCTCATGAGTTATTTATTAAACAATTTGTATCCCCAAGTGCAATTTGGAAGTTACATAGCTGGCAGAATACAACAGAAAACGTGTGCCATCTCTCAAGTGCTGTGAAGAATACCATGGTACACACACTGAGGACTGTTTTTGTTACAAGCCCTCTCCTCAATGTTTTCCTTGTATTAACCCTTTCCCTGCTTTTTAACAAACTACATCTCACAACAGCTTTGCTTTCTGAGATATTGTTACCTCAAAAGGTAATGCTCCTTAAACAGTCTTGCCGACCTGTGCCTACAGTCAGACTTCTGGCAGTTTACCTGCTGTGAGAGCAGGAAAAGATAACTCCTACTGGCCACAGAGGAAGATGACTGAGGATGAAGCATTCAAACAAGGGACCATTTTGACCTGCAGATACAGAGAATTGCTGTCTTCTGATCTCATTCCTGAATGTTATCCTTTGTAGCAAACCCTGGCTAAAAACTTCCTGGCTGCCACAAAAGGCCCTAAAAACAAACACAGTAAAAATGGAGGGACAGGACTTATTCACAGGTTAAGTCTATTAAGAGGTTGAGAAAAGTATGTACCCTTTAACATCCTTAACACAATAACCACAGATTCTATGGAAGAGACAACAGAAAGCAGTCAGGAACAGGGGCTCTCCCCAGGGAGCATCTCCTGGTGCCACTGCTGGACAGCAAGTGCACCCAGAAGTGCACTTTGCACAGGTCTCCACAGCCTGTGCATGGCAAACAGCAACATTTCCTGGCCCCATCAGTGCACACCGATGCTTCTAAACCACTGCAGAAGTAGGAATTCTCATTTTACCCTTCCCACACCACCAAGGGTGTGATGAACCTCCCACTATACGCACTGACAATTCTGAGCAGTTTTTCCATCCTGCAGATTGCTCTAGTGCCTGTCCCAGAGCTCTGTAAACTGCAACAGAGCTGAAGTGACCTCTGGACTTACAAAAGCATCTGTGAAAATTGGCAGCTTGGAAAGAACTATGAACTGCAACACCAGGGTGTGTGCATCCAGAGCTGTACACTAGCAGACTTTTGGAAAGACCTACTATCAATCTGTATTCTGTTCGTGCTTGGAAACATTTCTTGAAAACAAATATGAAGAGGTTCTTTTTCAGAGTCTGGTTTAGGGAATTTTTTGTCCCTTCGTTTTAGTCTAGCTAAAATGAAATACTCATTTTACATAAAGTGATGGAATTTTTCTGAATGCTTCCTGTTCTGGAGGCAGGATTTATCAAATATTTTCACACTACTTCTTTACTGGGCTCCTGTTAAGATTTGAAGTGCAGAAAGATAATTTTTCTTTTCTGAATTTATACTAAAGAGATAGAATATTCTGTCACCTGAAGTTATAGTTGTAACTGAAAAAGGGAAAGGGAGGGAAGAAGGATGTGGAATCTTACTTGTCTGGGTTTTTCACTCTGAATGTTGCATTAAGAGCTTTTAATCTGGAATCTGCCTGAAAAAGGGGAAAAAAAGCTTTGTTAATTTAATGCAATTAAATTTCAGTGACAAAAAAATCTCAGCCTTCTGGCAGCACCATTAAAAAAACATCCTGCCTTCATGGCATATAAGTCTTCAAACATTGAACAAGTTGACTCCAGCTGCCCTGAATGTCAGATATTTTTATTAAAAAGTCAAAAAACTACACTGTTTTTGTGAATATGATGTAAACAGTAACCACTAAAATAAAGCTGGTATAATCCAAGTCCCACAGAAGTAGTCTCTTCTTAAAATGCTCCACAAATCATGGATTTAAGATACACAACCCCACATTCTTTTCAGATGAAGCAATTAGGTAATTTAAGACCATATGGATAGGCTATTTTATATTTCTCAAACCAAATAAAAACAGTGGTAGAGTGACCTCTATATGCTCTTTATTACCAGGAACAGTTCCCCAGTGAAATCAAAATCTTATATATGTTGTTCTCCTACTTTTTATGACTTGCTTTACAGAAAATATGTAATTTGTATATCAAAATAGAGCCCTTTTTAATGCAATGTTCTTCTCTATGGTAGAACATATGTAAATCTCTACAGAGCAAAATTCATTAGCTAATTAAAAAGGTAATTGACTGCTTTAGTTTTTGAGATATTGGTTTATCAATTTCTGCAGCAGTAGTATTGAACATTTGTAAGGAGACAGACGGGTTTTTTTTTTCCAATTTATTGAATATTAAACTATGCAATGAGTATTTATTCCTAATAAGACACCAACACACATGAGAGATCCCAGCTTCATCCCCGAGGTCCACATCACTACAACTCTTCATTCCTACAATGCATTTCATACTGAGCTCACTCAGGGCTCATCTATACCAAAGAAAAAAGCCAACTGTGGGTAAATGGCTGGAGTTTACTTTTGATCAAAACATCCTTCTCTTCAGTAAAAGGAAAATAAATCAGCACACCTTGCAAGGTATATAGATTTCCTATAGTATACTCCTTTAGCTAACAGGCTGTGTCACAGCTGCAAGCAGTAAGTTACTTCAGCAGTACTTGTTAGTGCTGGTATGTGACAAGAGTATTTTGTGCCCTGTTACAGAGAACTCAGAGCTTGAAGAGGTATTTTGAATTTGTCAGTGAAGGGAACACAGTGTCCTCCCAAAACAAGAACATAGCCCATCCTTTAGGGGCCTTGTAATTGCATCTACAGATAAGACAGGCACTGTCTGAGACTGTTTCACCTCCCACTACACTGAGCAAAAGATACCCCATACACAGCCTAGAGAAAAGGAGGCTCAGAGGAATCTTACTGTTCTCCACAATTTCCTGAAAGGAGGTTGCAGTGAGGTAGAGGTTGGTCTCTTCTCCCACATAACAAGCAGTAGGACAAGAGAAACCTGGGTCAAGTTGCTTCAGGGAAGTTCAGATTCAATGCTAGGAAAAATTTCTTTACCAGAAGGATTGTCAGATATGGGATCAGGCTGCCCACAGAAGTGAAGGAGTCACCATCCCTTGATGTGTTTAAAAGATATGTTGATGTGGATTTTGATGTGGCGCTCGGGGACATGGTTTAGTGGTAGACTGGCAGCAGAGCCAGGTTAACTGTAGCTGTTCTTCCAATGACCAAACACCAAAACAAAGTATAATCCACAAGCTGAAAGGCAAGGGAACAAAACCCTCCAGACTAAGACTGACTGACATTGGGAGAAAGCAGGTTCATTGTCACCACTGCGTGTGACACTTCTCTAAAAATAACTTGCAAGTGGAAGACAAGGCAGCATGAGGAAGCATGTCCCAGATAGCACAAGGAACACAAAACACTGCAGGAGCTCCAAGTCCCAGCCTTTATGCTTATTCAGAACACTTCTGAGACTTGTATAGTCTTGGATCTTCACTGCCATACACCAACAAATCAATACACAAGCCAGTTATGTTTTGGGCTGTTCACACACACCTGCAGGTACCCCTCACACAACCTCTCACAGTACAAACACCACCTAGATACACTGACATTATCAGAGTCCTTCCCTCTGAGCAGCTATTTCCCAAAACCCTGTATTTCTGTTGAAACAGCAGGCATCAAAGCCATTTGAGTCTGTCAGGGCAGCAGGCACATAGAATAGCTTTACACTTAGAAAGGACAACTTCCTACCCTACAGTTACAGGCAAGTTTTTGTCTTTTGTCACAGGGACGCATGGTGCTCTGAAGGAAGAGTTCAGCAGGTCCATACAAGCACTGTCAAGGCAGGAAGCACACTCCTGACAATGCTCAACCATCTCAGTAGGGCTATTTCCTTTTTGCCATTTGCAGCACAGTAACTCTCACACACCACTTCTGAGCATTTACACCAGAGTTAGGCTTCTAGAGAAACATCTGTCCAGTCTTAAAATTGATTTAAGAGTGACATGCACAAGCATTTTAGAGATGAACCATCCACCAAATAAGGTACAGCTGAGGAGTTTTCAGAGTTAACGCCTACTATGATCCCATAATCATTTATGTAAACTAAAGAGAGATGGGAATTTTCCCTTTCCTACAGGAAGGGTTAAAATCCCAAGTGACAAATCGCTTAAATTAAAAATTCCTTAAAAAATAAGTGCTGGGGTTGAGAGGGAGGAAAGGCATGATTTAATGATACAGCTGACAGAATAAACAAAGTCTCCAACATCAGCTATAGCATGCTACACTACATTAATGCCTAATTTAAAGTTTAGCTAGAGAGTTCAAACCCTCTCAGACAAAAAACACATCCCGCTTAAATGCAGCAGAGGCAGCAGAAACATAAACAACTGGTCTAATTTGAGTCTAAACCATGCACTGAATAGAGGTTTTCCTTCCAGTGTAGTGCTAAATATTGAGAGTATATACTTCAGATGTAAAATAAAGGGAAGATTCTTTTTACCAGGCTTTTGAAAAAGTTATTTTTCTTTCCTAAGGAAACTGGAACTGTAAAAGGGAAAACATACACAATCAAATCTAGAGGGAAAACAAGACTTGCTAGTCTCTCATTTAATCTACAATGTGGTTTCAGGGAGGCAAATATTCTCAGCATTCTGCTACGAGTTTTCTTACATAAACACATCACTGTGTGTTCTCCTGAACACACCCTGCCAGTACAAACTTTCTGAACTCCTGTGAGTGTATGCAGCTTCAGAGCTTTACATTGTTTGCATTATGAACACTAGTAGTATGCAAACCCAACTGTGATGGAAGAGAATTATTGTCAACTTAAGTTATCAGCAATAAGTGTCAGTACCAAAGCCCTTGGACACTGAGGATATGAGCACCAGGGATTTTCTTTAGCTGTCACTATTTAGAATAATTCTTCATAATCCACCTAGTTTTCAGTTGTGATTTCATGAGAGCAGATCACATTACAATGAAACAAAAAGCTCAGTATTTGTCCCCATATAGTAATTCTTCCAGACACAGCCCAGCAATCTATCAGCTTCTTGGATTCTTGACCTGTACAGACACACGACCTCAGACCATTTATTCCTGCAAGTCTTCCACCAGTTTACCCAGCCATGAACTTACTGATGTCAGTGAGGATAGTATTACTTCAAGACACACACTGTTAAACAGTTAAGGGGCACTAAATCCATCTGTCTTAGTCCCTTTCACCAACTGCTCCTTGCAAAGTCCTACAATTCAGATCTCTTTGCTTACCTTTTTTTGACACCTTGCACGTCTTACCAGACTAAATTTGACACCCACCTTTAAAAATGCTAAACTAAACAGAAAATACAAAAACTCACTGCTGTGGCCTCAAGTTCATTACTTTTAAAGCTTGTAAGGATTCTACATTACCCGCAAAACTACACAGGCACATAACAAGCCTGCTAGAGAATTTAACTGCAATCCTACCCATCACATGCCAAGAACATCACTGTTTTTTGTAATAACAAGTATTCAGGAAGCAATGCTTTTAACTCATTCTTACAGCAAATATCTTTCATAAATAGCCTAAGGTTGGAATATGTTTCTGTCACAGCAATCATGAGACAAACAATTACAGTAATTACCTTCAACTGAAATCCAGTCTCATTCACCATTTCTTTCCATCCACCTTCCTAAATATACAGGAGAAGAATGTTCAGTTAGTGATTTAAGAATGCTGCAGCTTTTGCAAGTCTCTATGAGAACCTGTATCAAAGGAGCTTCTCCAGTATGCCTGGCTTCTGCCTCGGCTAACCTCCCCATGTCTTTTCAAGAATCTGGGTTAAGAATAACCAATCTTGATGCTGTGCTTACATACTAATCTCCCCCCAAAAATCCTCTTCTCAATTACCTCAATGTATCAGCTGGGAGCAGGAGCCACATTGCTTTGTCTAAAGAAGAGTAGCTAACATATTTTGCCACTGAGATTATCAGCATCTCCAAGGACCTTTGTATCTCAAGGCAGAGAGCATAGAAATGACAACAGTTTGCACTGCACATCCCATCAACTGGCTCAGGTGTACTGCTGGTTTTCCACTGTTTTCAGCTCCCATACATCAGTTCACCCACATACTGTACTATGGCAAACATAGCTGTTCAGACCAGTATTTGGAAATCTCTCATCAAAGCACAGAAAAAAAAAGAACTACCCAACATCTCCTAAAGTTGAAAGCTGCAGAATGCAATGCTTAAGCTGACAACTGAACCACAACTTCTGTGACAATGTAATGTAGCAGTTTTGGGCCACAACACATGAATGGATGATCCAAACCACAAAGCTAAAGAAACCATGGATATCCAAAGAGTGAATTGGAAGCCAGTGCTGTCCCTGCAGTCAGCAGTATAGCATGGTAACTAGTTCAGCTTTAGTCCTGCAGAAGAGCTCCCAACCAACATGCATTAAGTTCCCAATAGGCTGTTACAAAGAGGTGGAAATTCTCTCTGAGGAGCCTTACAATTTCACTGAAAAAAATTAATAGGGTAGATTAGAAGGGCAACTGTACTCAGTTGTACATTAGAAGAGACTGCTCTCAATAAGCTTTTAGCTGGACAAGCCTTTTCCACCTCAAGTTTATTCACATTGTCTTTCCTCCTGACACAGAACAAGTTCTGGGTCAATAAAAAAGATCAAAAGGATATTATCTTAATTAAATAATCACTAAATAATGAATTTAGAAATAACTTTACTATACCTGCATTAAAAATGCATAAAAGATTTTGTCTTGGCAAAGAACAGGATGCGAAGCCACACGTAACAAGAAGTTTTCCAGACCAATTCTTCTTCTTTCCACAAAATCTGGATCCATATTATCTGCTGATAGCTTATGCCAAACGAAGTCAGCCTAGTTAAATAGAAGAGTGTCAACAGTAAATTAAAAAACAAACAAAACAAAGCAAGCCACAGTTTCAGTTTCCTTACCCTTTTCTCTGGCAAAGGTGGAACAACAATATGTGGGTAGGTAACTGACAAATAATTCCTCAACAACTCAAATTCACTGTAACGTCGCCACAGGGACTCCACTGGGGCACATTGTCCCTCACTCTGGGACTCAACAGCTCTGAAAGATAAAGCAGCAAATTTGAACATTAGTGAGCTACTCCCTCAAAAACCATCAGTGCAATTAGACCAAAGGCCCCAAGTATAGTAGTGACTACTGCATGACTTGTCCATTATCTAAAGCAACCTTAATTAACTTCATGTCTACATACTTAATTCAAAAATATTTATAATTTCTGTCTGATAGCACTTGAATTTGCTAAGAACACAGGAAAAGTCAATGCACTTACACATCAAAAACAAACAGGTGGGTCACAATCAAGTAAAGAGACACATGTGGCTTAGTCCACACCCTTACAGAAATAGCCCTATTTCTCTTAGAACAGTGTTAGGTTCAAAGTTAGTAAAATTTCATGAGTATCTGAAGGATACAGAATATTGTAAGAAGAAATTTACTATTCAGTGGGAAAAGTCTTCAGAGGATAAAAATTGTCTTGCATAGAACAATTGATACAGTTGCAAATACAACTTTAAAAATATTAAGATATTTTAAAGGATATTTTTAGAAAAAGAGCAAATTTCAAAGTACTTCCAATTTTCTTTCTTTGTTCAAAGTGACATGTTTTTATATTTAAGGACTAAAAATGTAACAAACTAGCTAGAGCAAGCAGGTACAAAATTGATGTGTCTGAAAAATTTGTTGAAGACTTAAAACCAACATGACCTAGCAAGGTAATAAAGGATTTTATGTTACTATAAAAGGAGAAATCATTGAATATAGGATTGGAAAGTAATACAAATACTTGACAAGAAAAGTCATTTTTCATACAAGATATTCAAAGAAACTGAAATACTTTGTAATATAATAAAATAAGCATTGGGTAGCAACACTTCCAGCAGTTAGCACATGCCAGAATAAACAGAGAGAATTCACACAAGGCACTTAACAGAAAACAGTGATGCCTATATCAACTTTGTTTTTCCTTTAAGTGACTAACTAGCACACAAAGCACTGGCATCAACCTACATGGAACAGTACTGACTGCTGAATTTGGAAGGGACCTCTGCATGTCTGTGATCCAACTCCCTTGCTCAAAGCAGAATGTTCTGAGCCACATCCACTTGGGTTTTGAGTATCTCCAAGGACTGAGACTCTACCATCACACTGAGCAACCCACTCCCATGTTTGAATTTGTGGGCACTGCCTTTTGCCCTCTCTCAGCATCACAGGAGAAGTCTGACTCCATCTTCTTTATCTCTCCACCAGGTACTGATCCACAACTGCTAAAATCAGCTGTTTCTTTCACAGGCTGAACAATCTCATCTCTTTCAGCCTCTCCCTGCAGGTCAGACAATCCAAGCTCATAATCATCCTCACAGCCCTTTATTGGACTTGCTTCAGTAAGTCTACATCCTTCTGGTGCCACAGAATTCAGAACTGGGAACAATAAATTATGAACTACAAGTAGTCACTCATATGGTATTTAGTAGAAGAGAATGCTACATTATTTTTGCAGCAAAAGTCAGGCTTTACAGTTCTTGAATTCAAAAGAACTTTGTGAAGTTTTAAAACATCTAAGAAGCACAGAAATTATTGATAATTTTTAAGCTATTCTTAATCTACAAGGTCAGATTTCTAATGATCTCACTGAAAAAAACAATCACACTCTAAAGCTGCCCCAATTATTTGATACCTTTAAACAAAATACAAGGTGCCTCTATTTGTGAGCCCTCATTAGAGAGGAATAGTCTTGCAATATGCTTTGGTTTAGTTACATCTTAAGGTGGAATACTGTCATACAGAAGAATGCAAAAAATACTTTTTTAACTTAGTAATCTGCAAAAAGTTTTACATATCTACCCATGCCTTGGGGAAAGGGCATTCATTCCAGGTGACTGAATTTGTATGGAAAGAGAAACTTCACAATAAGAAGAAAAAATCATAAATTCACAGCATTCAATACAAACTGCTGCAGATGAAAACTATTTGAGAGTGACTCAAGAGGAAAAGGCAGTACACTACTGACAGCCACTATTCACACTGCCATCATCCCACAGAATTCTTCCCTATTAGAATATTTAAATTCAGTGAAGCTGCACCAGCAAATACTGAGTTCTGAAGAGGGTAAGCTCAGCCTAGCCTGGACTGACAGGCTGTGCAGCATTCCTCCCTACACTAACTGCTGCACCATTCAAATATTAGAAGAACACTTCAGCTCAAAGCAGGTATCTAGTGATTGAACTATTGATGAGTAAGAGGTAAATTTGATTAGACAAGGAATTGAGCTACTGTGCCTCAAAAGATTGTTTAGTCAAGAGCTGAAGGCACAAACATTGCATTCCTAGTGGAACAACTCCCAGCAGGGTTTGGTAAACAATCTGGCCATTCAAGACACTCATATAAAAGTACTTCAGAATTACAAGTCCTTTGTATCTTCAGCTTCAGTAGCCTACCAACCAGCTGCACTGACTTACAACATGGGATTCAAGACTTCCACATGGGTTATTGTCAACCCTTAAGAAAGGCTGCTACCATCAATACATGATAGTATTATGGGGACCCTACCTGAGAACAGGCTGCACAAGCAAGCATAAATAGGGAGATAAAAAAAACATGGGTCAGGACTGCCCTGAGAACCCAGCTATATCCCAGGGGGACACATCTGTGCTGCAGGTACAGATGCTGCTGTGCCAGCCTTCTGTCAGGAGTATGGTCCATCTCTATAAGCATCTAAATCATGCTTATAATGCTCCATAATTGTTTTGCAGAGTTAATTAGAAAGTAGGAGCAGCAAAGGCCATGCTGATCCTTAATTATGGGGGAAAAAAAACCAAAACAAACCCTTTCTGAACATGCCTGCTTATCAGCTTTGTATTTGCTACAATTAATAAGAGGTCATCAATTATTTGAAAAAAACCATAGTATTAACATCTCAGTCCACATACATTAAGCAGAAAACAAAATATTAATAAAAAATTTTAAAAGGTATTTGGGAGCATAACACTTCAACAAGAAAGGACCACAGCTTTATAGAGAAGCCTAGTCCTACATCAGCACAAATAACTACCTTGTTACTTGAAGTTTTATGCCCACAAAGGTCCTCAAGAACTCCAGGAGGAAGGAAGCAGACTGCCAGACCAGTTCATACCACTCACTGCATCTACCCTGCCCACAGTGAAGGCACTAAGGAAGTTTACTACATCCAAAGCTTACTGTCAATTTATTCTGATAAAGCAGATCTGTGCACAACAGCTTAGCTTCCCCCAGTCTCAGTTAATCAAGCTTTACAACCCTTGTGAGGGACACAAAAACCTCACACTATACCCTGAAGAAAAAGATTAAATTACTACCAGAGAATCTTGAAGGTCAAACCTGCCTGTGTAGTTAATTCTTTCTTAACTAGACAGTATCTGATACAACCACCTCACCATAGAGTGTATTAATCAGCCTGACATTATTCTCATCTCAGATCATACTTGTTTCCTTTATTCTAACATGCATTTATTCTCAGTGTCTCAGGAGTGCAAACACTGCCTTTTACGGCTGCTTTTATCTTCATCAGGAGAGCACCTATATAGCACCTAACAAAGAAGCCAGGCTTCTTTAATTAATTGATTTGAATACATTTATGACATTTTGTAATTATTAGTATCAGTTGTATCCCCCAAACTTACATCCAGGATTAGAGTAACCCCCAGGCTGTGCTCGCTAAAGCACACAATGCTGCAGAGTTGGGTAAAGGAGGGGAGCAGCAAAGCTCTTTGCAAAGCTGTGGTGGGAAAGCAGTGCACAGCCTGCAGTTAGGAGCCAGTGTCAGCACCATGGCCTTTTAAATGAGCTAATAAGAGTTGGAAATAGCATGGATGGATTTAGGACAGGCAACAGAGATAATTTTTTTTTTTTAATCACACCAAAAATGTCTCTGCCTGGTTATATATGAGGTCATAAAATATCACCAATTACAAGAGCATTTCCTCCCCAGGAACACCATTTCAGAAAGGAAGTAGAAATCCACAAAGGTACTCATTAGACTTAATACCTTCACTACCATCCAGCTTTTTAGACCACGTTATGAACTTCCCCATTACATGCAAGTATTGCAGACCAATCTTAATTAAGATTATAATCACTTGTTGACATTCAGTCAAACTTCTCAATTTGTTTTGGTTCTAAAAACACAATATAATACTTGTACAGTCTTCAGGCAGGAAAACCATATGTTTCTCCTTTAAGTACACTTTTAACAATGCAAGTTATTCATCGCACAAACCAACCTGCCTGAAAAAATTAAAAAGACAAAATTGAAACCTTCAGCTTTTATGTTTATAACTGATGTTATCATAACCAATTCAAAGATTACATTACTCCATGTCTCATTTATTTGCCTTAATTCAAAGTGTCAATGTGAAAACTTTAGTCCATCTAATTAACCTCTTCTCACTTCCCATTTAAAACTAATTATCTTAAACGAGGCATTAAATAATTCTGAATGCAATAAAAGATGAATGGCTGTGAAGTACTAAATCATACAAGGAAATACACAGGTTTATTTTCTTGTAAAAGCAATCATCTCTTCAATGGCAGAAGCAGTAACTCCGATTGCAACCTCTGACCTTCCAGTGTATCAGAAGTGACACTTCCACTCCCTGTAGTGGGCAAGGTTCACTCCCTGTGCAAAGGAACACCATTTTAGAGGGATGGGCAACTTTTTCCAACAGCTAGTTAGAAGTAGTCTCTGTATTCAGGCCTCTCAGACAGCTAATGATTAATAATTACTCTTCTACCTGGCAAGCTGTATGACAAGGAAGCATTTCTCTTGCCAGAAGATTTTTCAGAGCCAGGTGATTATTTGGGTTTTTTATACTGTCACACAGTTTACTGTATTTAACTAAAACATACATTTGTCAGGAAGATTAATGATTCATAGTATTTATCAGGTAAAAATCAAAAGAAAACTAAGTTTTTAAATCCTCTTTCTTCTTTCACTTCCCAACCTCACCTCCCTGTTTATTTAGACTTTTCCCCTCATACCTTCTTTAGAGTACTTTGGACAAGTCTTCCTGACTACCATTGGCCAAAATCTGCTCTTTACTGCTCTATCAGAAGACAACATTCCTCTGTGGGCATTCCTCCTCTTCTCAGGAAACCTATGCCTGGGCTTTTCACCTAGCCCAGTGTGAAACAGGAAACTTTGAGAAGGATACTAAACAAAACATAACAAAGGAGAAAGTCCTGAAATCCCACAATGCAGCACTGCTATCATTGAACTGTGGCCTGGCCAGCTACCAATTTCCAAGTCCATTTCTCTCACAGAAACTTTCTTTAGAAGTTCTCACTCTTTAGATGGGCAATCCAAGGTCTTAACAGAGAAGGAGGTAACACTCATATCACAATTTGACTAGTGGAAAACTTTCCAAATACTGAAACCAGAAATAAGGCTAGTAACTTCCCAGCCATTCTGTATGAGTAAAAAGGAAATAAAACGAGCCCCCTTGTCAAATAACTGCAAGAGAAAGTGAAGACTAGTAGGGCTGGAAACCAGGGATCCTGCTATTAAGTGGTCACATAGCAGGCTGCACAAACTTGTGCTTTTTCCTCAAGCCACATTTAAAGTAGAAAAACAAAAAAAAATACATGCTAGTCATCATACTGTTTGATTGGGAAGGGCAGGATAGAAAACTTATAGTCAGCAGGGATAAAAGGAAAGTGAACCAAATGGAAGTGTCCTACTACTACAGAAGAAATAGTTTACTTTAAAGGAGACCCGGAAAAAAAAAGGCATTCCCTGTATGTCCTATAATTTAAAAAGCAACACCAGAGAGTTCTTCAGAGGTGCTCTGCATTCTGATTAACTTTCAGCTCTGTCATAGAAATAACAAGTACAAAGCCAGGAGTCAGACTCAAGGGTTTATTCTACCTGAGTTCTTGTAGTTTCATGCAGACTCTGCTATAAAACACAGCTGCCTAAAATTCCAACAAGCAAGTCTGGATTTAAGTAAGGTCCTGGATATTTGCTACTTCCCTTATAGAAAGCAAGTGGTAGGCCAAGCATATCTCAAGAAGGAATATTTAGCTGCACATCTTAAGAATATGTACTTGCCTTAATGCCATTTCCCACAAATAGGTAGAAGTGACCTCTGTTCTCACAGGGAGAATATAAAAATTTATTTATTTTTAAATAACTGCATAGTTTAACAGAAGCTGTGAAACAAACTGACATTATGACTAATTGAATGGAAATAGCTCATCATAAAAAAATCAAATTAGCTAATGCAGAAAGGTCTAAAGCAAGAAGATGTTTTCAGGAAGATCAACCCTTGGAATTTGTTGACACTCTGCAGTCTACAGCAATGGAGCTTGCTTTGTCTCAAAGAAATGTATCTACTTCAAAGTATAATATCACACAAATAAAAATCAACAAAAGTCACACAAAAATGTGAGTACAGTAATATATTTTTTAATTTAAAAACTAAGTAAGACCATCAGCTGCATTTTGAAAACATTTTCACCAGCAGCAGTGAAACTTGCATGTTAAAGGCTTATGCACGCAGCTCCTGTTCTATAACAAATATACCATGGTCATAATTGTATCCATCTTGTGTCTCTTATTCACCCAGATAGAATTCCTAAATTCAAACTGAAATTAAATCCTAGATAGCAGTAATGGCAGAACCCCAGTTCACATAAACATAATGCAACTATTATTAAGTGGTCTTCCCTTTATATTACTATAAACAGTTTTATTCTTCAGCTACAAAATATCTTATTACCCAGACAAATTACTGTGAAGCCCACCAACAGCTACAGGCTCAGCGGGAATCACATTTAATAGCCACCAATTATATTTATGCAAGAAGTTTTGCCTTCTCAGCAAAAGGAATAGAGAACCTATTTTATTAGAGATGTGACAAACACACATTTTCATTTGCTCTGTGACAAACATGTAATTGGTCTCGGTATTTGCTGACCACGGAGTAAAATAAATCTTAATGAAAGAACACAATCTGGCCAGCAAAGTACAGTTTTGCCACTATGAAAGAACAACTGGGAAAGACCAGTGGGAGCAACTCTAAAGTAATGCAAGGATGACTGGAAAAGGAGATGCAGTCAGCATGTTCTAGGGCTGCATAAATCTGCCCCCAGAGTATACTTCATATCACAGACCCAAATGATTCCAATTTTCTTCTCTTTTCCTTCAGAAATATCATTACAATAAAAACAGCACTACTTACAAGAGAAGGTGTGATCTTTAATATCAATACACTGTAAAACTATTTTTAAGCATCTGAACAACTGTCAAAGAGATACAATATTTGAAAAATGTATGTCTATTTTGGATTTTGTTCTTTAAGTTTAGCAAAAATATAGCAAACTTATCCCAACAGGCCTGCAGTCAGTGTGACTGGTGTGTCCATCAGCTAAACAAGCTAAGAAGCCTTTTAACCAGCAGATAGAAGGCTTATGTGACAGTATTACAATTTGAACTCTTCAGAGCCTTTGCAAAATACAACTTCTTTGTTTCAGAAGGTTTTCTTTGGACAGCAGATAATTCCAAAGGCAAGGCCCTAAGGTTAAAATTAGTAATATAAAGAAGAGCGAAACAAAACTCGTAATAAAGTCTAATTTTGAAATTCTTGTTTCAGCTGAGTAACGTGATCCCACATAACTGGAGTCATCTGTTACTGTTTGGGAAGTAAGTGTAAGTTAGAAGATATTTTAAAGCTTTGCTCACTACTCAATACTTGAAATTTTGTGTTTGTGGTACTGAGAGTTTTTATCATACCCAGTAGTATTAATCTTGTTAACATGAGAAGATTAAGAGCAATAAGGGCCCCAGTGAAAGTTCAAACTAGAATGAAGAAAGGAAATAGTTAACTAACTCTAACACTTAAACCATCTACAAGGAATATGTGGCAATCAGACACTTCAAATATAAGCTGAGCAATAAATTTTGACCACATGACATAAGTCAGGAGACTTCTCTTTTTCACCATCTCAAGCAAGCCTAATGTTACTTTAGACCTCTCTCACATCCAATCTCACAAATACGTGAATAAATTTGTCCAACTTATGTCCAAGAAATAACCAAGCAGTTGCTGGCATCATTTTAATGCACCAACTTTCAAACACACATTTTTCCACCTAGCTCCAAATGAAGAATTACAGTACACAGTTATGCAAAACCAGCACTAGTACTGAACTGGAGATCAGCTGCCAAATTTTCACAGGAAAAGATCCTCCAGAGTGGGTTGATAACCACATAACAAAGCACAAAACAGCTAAATCTTCTCATCAACTGCACCTGATTATTTTTAGGGGTGGAAGGAGGGAAAATCTGTTTAGAATGCACATCCATGTACACTTGAGACTGAGCTCTCATCACCCACCTAGTCTCAATGAGGTAAGCAGTGTATGTTTCTTGTATGTTCATGGCATTCCTCCCAGTCCGTTTTTCAGCTTCTGAAACCGTGATTTCCATTTTCTTTGCCAAACAGTCTTCCATCTTTTTAGAAGAGGAAAATAAAGATTCATGTAACATTAACCACACAAGGCAAAGGCTACTAACCTTGCCTCCCCTTCTCCCACACCACATTTGTTCAAATAAGACAAGTCTCTGTGGGATAAAGGCTTTGACAGGGCTTTGCTTTATACCTATGTTCTGTATCACATTTTCAAGTGAAAACTGGAAATCTGCTTTACGGGAAAAACAGAAAAGTCAACAAACTGACAACTTCAGGTACCAGAAACCACCCTGAGCCAGGAGGATACAGAAACGAGAAATATTTTTCTTTACCGGTAACAAAGTAACCTTTTTTAAAAAACAAACACGCTAACACCAGTATTTTCTATCCAAACACTTCCCAACTACCAGCGAGTTCCTCTTCAGGACACCCGGGACACATGTAGCCACCTTTCCCCTTTCACAGGAAACAGAATATATCCGGCCCAAGATGTTTTTCTTTTAATCTCTCAGAGGAGGATCGTTATCTTTTTTACACGCTGGCCGCCAGAAATCATAAGGACCACACGCCCACCATGGAAAGGCAGAGCCGCACTGAGCAGGGAGGGGGAGTCACTTGTGAAATTAAGGGGGGAGGGGGTGACAAAAACATAATTGATAATAATAAACAATAATCTGACACTAGGGACGAGGGCAGAGGGTGAACAAAGCTCTCTCACAGCGGCCGGGACGGGGGGCAAGGAGAGCCCCGCAGCTCTGGGGGTCACGCTGCACAGCCCTGCCCCGCGCTCCGCCGAGCAGGGCCCTGCCCCGGGAGCGAAGGAAGGCTCGGCACACCTGTAGCCCCTTCCCGCCGCGGCGGGCAGCGCGGAGCGAGCGCCCGCTCCCCGCGCCCCGCCGCCCTCCCCGCCCGGCCCGGGCAGCGCGCTCAGGAAAGCCCGGTGCTCGCCCGGCGGAGCAGGCCGAGAGCCGGCGAGGGAGGGAGCGAGGGGGACGCTGCCCCTCCGCCACCGCCCTCCGCACCCTCACCGCGGCCGAGGGCTGCTCCGGGGCCGGCAGGGCGCCGTCCTCTTCTTCCTCCTCTTCTTCCTCCTCTTCCTCCTCCTCTTCCTCCTCCTCCGGGCGGCTGCCGCTGGGCTCGGGCTCGGCGCTCTCCATGGGGCTCGGGGGCTCGGCCGCGGCGCTCCGCGCAGGCGCCGAGCCGGGCTCCGGGCGAGCCCGCGGCCGGGCCGAGGGCCGGGCCGGGCCGGGCCGGGGTGTGTCCCGGGCTGCGTCCCGGGCTGCGGGCGGGGGCCGGCCCGGCCCGGCCCGGCCCGTGGGGAGGCTCGATGCGGGGGTGCCGAGGGCGTCCTGCCCGCCCTGGTGCCCAGCAGGGGCTCGTTCGTGCCCCTGTGCGCGGCCACCCCTCGCTGTCACCGTGCTCCGCTCGCCCACTGGCAGCCTTGAGCCTCCTGCCCCTGTCCGGGACAAAGCTTCCCCCGGCCCCTCACCTGCACTCTTACTCAAACAGTAAATGTTTATTTCTAAAATTTGCTTGTTGTCGTTGTTCCCCTCTTAGTTCTCAGGTCACCGGAGAGTTTCTCGTGCCATGCTTCGCACACCTTGTTTTTTGGTTGGGTGGCTGGGGTTTTTTTGACACCCTATGTTGTTATAGCAAATAACACATCTTAAACAAATATTAAATTCTACTTTCTCATCTTTCATCTCTAGCAAGATTTGTCACTTTCCTTTATTGAGTCTCTTTCAGCAGCCATTAACTTTCCCACAGGATGTTTGCTAGCGTTCGGCAGCTCGGGTTGTTTTTTAAAGCCCACCAGCCTGTTCCTCCCCACTCACTCCTCCAGCAGTAGTGAAGCACTCGGTCGTGCTGTGTTCCTTTGGGCTCGCCCTCCTGGCTGCCAGCCTTTTCCATCAGCTCCCTGCCAGCCGTGGCTGGACGTGCAGAGGCGCTTTTTCCTGCCCACGATCTCTGCTGAGGAGCACCCGAGGATGTCCCATCCTGCCCCTCTTCCTCAGGAGGAATTGGAGTAGGTATAATCTGCCAAGTTCAGCTCTGGGGTAGCCTCTGACGTTATTTAATTAAAACCCCCAGCCATCACATCTCTTCTCAGCGAACAGGAACAAACCTCCCTGTGCATTTCTCTCAGTCTTTTTGGAGAGACATTGAGGAAGTCCACCCTTCAGCCCCTACCAACCATCACACACTGCAGATTTATCCATATATACATATTCACTATTGGGTTTATTCCCTCATGATCCCATGGTGCCTTCACAGTCCCTGTGGGACTGGCAAACTGGAAGAAGATGCTGTTCCTATTCATTCCTCATCCTCCAAATACCATTTTGGACACTCAAGAACAGTGTCATTGTTCCCTGGTTTACATGTCACATCAACCCTTGAGATTTCCCATTCTTGCACCAGTTCATGCCCTTTGATTCAGGCACTATATTCTTTATTATTCTTATGTAGCTTTTTTTCCTTTTCCTACTCTTTTCAAACCCAGGTTAAAGGCCACTTTGGGGGATTATAGAGTTGATATTATGGGTTTCTTTGCTTTGCTTATTTCTGCTTTGTGTAGGAAATGGGGGTTTTGTAGTGTTGACCAGAGATGAATTTGCATACATTTTTCATCCAAAAATTAATCTTTTTCTTTCAACAACAATTAAAATAAATCCCAAAATCCCCTTTGAAGACTCCATGAATTAATATTTGGCGTCTGGTTTCTATTCTGTTGTCTTCAATGTTTATGCAACTTTTTCCTCAGATTGTTTGAACTGATACCTCAAGCTATCCTTTCCCACCCCTCCACCACTGTAGCTGTATGGAGTTTCCCAAGCTTTTTCCACAAAAGGCTTTCCTAAAACAAAAGTTTTTTTACAAGTATGTGAACTGTGATTTGTCCTCTGAATAGGACTGATTTAAGATTTGTTTTCTAAACCCAAGGTCCAGTTCAGATGTAAAAGCACGATTGCATGTTGTAAGACACAGTCTGTTTTTCATTAAGCTATGGTTTTCTTATGTTTACTCAAGATGTACATCACGATGCATACCTTGTATCAATTACACTTGCATTTGCAGCATGTGCATACTGAAATTTTTCTGATCCCTATCAGTTATATAATGGAAATATTTATGTGATACTCATGCAGGATATCATACTTTGTACTAAATATTTTTAGTATGGAAACAACATTATCAATAGAGTACAGTAATATATTGTAGGTCTAATATTCTATGATTTCAAAAACTATTTTCACCTTTGAATTTTCTTCATACACTAAAAGATGTGGAGAAGAGTTAAAATGTTACATATATAGGATAAGGGTAGTGATAGAAGTGCCTAAGTCAAGATGACTGTGAGCCTGGGTAGCCCTCACGTACATTACAGCTTGGAGAGTTCAGAGGAGAGTGAGATGTCTTGAAAAAACCAATGTGCAATGGAGAGATCTTCCATAACACCAAAGTCTCCAGCAAAGTCTTTTTCCTGAGCCATATTTCCTTACCTCAATCTGCAAAGTAGGATAACAGTATTTTCTCACAGCACAGTGCTGCTCTCAGGAGAACTTCCAGGATTTGTGCTACTTCGGTCAAAATAAGCTGTTGTGCTTCCCCCCTAACTAGGCACAACCATTCATGCACCCAGGGTCCCCCTGGATCCCCTCTTGTCAGGATGTGAGTCCAATCTCCTGCAGGTCAATCCAGCCAGGACACTCTCCTGCTCTTCAGCATCTTCACTAGGCAGCATGTCCCTTGTTCTTCAACTAAAAGAAGGCAAATTCTACTCAACTTCCTGCCTAAAAGTCCCTTCAGTCTCTGAAAGTGCCCTGACTCCCATTAGAGTGTCTGGAAAACAGGGAACTCCATCTTTTCTACTCTGTAAATCTATTTGTTTTAACCCTACTATTAAACTGGATAAACTGCTTTTTGATGGAAGAAAGCTAAGCAAGGTATATTACCTTATACACTGGCTTCCTGGTGTTTTTTGTAATGTTATGCATTCTTATTGGATCTTTCAACAGCCTGTGTTGCTCTAGTAAACAACACACCTTAAAAAAAAAAGCCATATTAATGGGAAATATTTCAGATATTTTCCCCTTTGTCACAATGTTATTTATCAGTATCTTCATTTCAAGTTCCTCATCTTTCAACTTCTTAGAAGTAATTAGATTTAATAGATAATAAAACCACTAATAACAACCATCATGTTACTGAGAACCAGAATGAAAACACCTAAAGCAGTGGCTCTGCTTTGCATCTATCCTGCAACACCCACAGCCTTTCAGTAACCACAGGAAGAGAGAGTAAACCAGCCAATATTCCTGCTGACTGTGTATCCTGTGCAGGACCTGGCTGTGCCAGTGCTCAAAAGCAGGGAGGTTCAGCACAGATTGGATTCATGGAGCAACACCCTGGAGCTGAGAACACACCATCCACACCACACATATTTTAGCTGATAACTTTTAGGGTGCCTCTAGCCCACTCCCAGGGACTGGCCATCCTTCACAGCTTCCAGTTTAGCTGCTATTGAAAAAAACAAACCCCATGTGTGCCTGCCTTAAGACTGCCTTGTAACACAAGCCAAAGCAGGAAGGCCAGGAGTTTCTCTTCAAAAGCACATTCCTGATCCATGGTTCAGGCTCCTGGATCCTATCACAGTTTCACTACCAGTAATAATAATACAAAGATCATGAGTCAGGCTGTCAAACTGCTCCTACTTCCCTCTACAGAGTAATTCCTCCAGAACTGAAGGTATTTTCTCTCCAGAGGTGTCCGGCAGCCGAAGTGGTGCCAGGTTGTGCTGCTGGTCTCCAAAGGCTGATCCCCACTGATGACCCTGGCATCTGTCTCTGTGTGATGTCCTTGGTGTGTGATGGATGCAGCAGAAAACAGTGCTTGGTTGGGATCCCCAAGAAAATACAGAAGAGGAATTAATGTCAAGGAACTGTCAGTAAAATGCATGAGTAGCTGCTTCATCATGGCAGAGTGCAGGCAGAAAAGTAGGTGAGTTCAGGCTCCTCATAGACATATTTCTACCATCTAAATATGTGAGTGAAATGAGTACTAAGGTGTAGGAAAATCAGCATTTTGTTAATTTTCCAGAGAAAGAGTGGAAAAGAGATATGGGTGACTTTTGGGGTGGGGAAAAATCATTCCATTTCACTCAGTCTGAAATTGGTAGTAGTGGGTTTCATTCCTTTCAGCAACAGCATATCTCGGTCCACAAATAAAAACAAGAAAACCAAAACTAATCCACATTTTTGAAAGAATCTGTACAAACACATCAACAGTATGAATGAAAATGTATTGAAAGTGGCTTCAAAAGCAGCTCAAAGTAAGCCATGAGAAAACTTCAAAGAAAGAAAGCCAGATAATGACAGAACTGAAGAGAGAAAAAACAACAAGCCAATTCAATAACATTGAAAATGGTACAGAGAGATAGACCTCTGCTTAATCTTGGTACAGCTCAGTCAAGGAAGCTGTTACACACAGTCTGTGAGAAGTTAGAACTTAGGCGGGTGTATCTGGACTATGCAAAGACTCCAGTGAAAGTCAGGCATCACTTAGAAAATGCAATTGTCCTGTGTGGCTACCGAAATGAGCATTAGCTGAGAGGCTGGAGCACAGGGAAGTTGGCAGGGCTAAGGAGAAGGGGTTGTGGCAAAGCAGACAAGGCCACCTGTGTGAAAGGAGGGATGGCTGTGTCCCTCAGGGTGCAGTGCTGGCTTTGATTGACTCCTCGTGCCATCAGATCTTCAAAGGTTACCACACCACTGCTGGGACAAGCTGTAGGAAGGGAATGGAAAATGTCAAAAATCATCATGGTATTTCTCCTTAGGTGTTAGCAGGGACCTCAAGCCATGGCACCACATCCAAGATCTCAAACATCAAAACCCTGTGAAACTGAGACAGTGCAAGGTAATGAGAACTTTTCCCAGAGACTGATGGGCACCCTCAGTGCCACCAGGCAATGACATTTGAATTTAGTGGGTGCTCCCAGGACTGGAGCCAGTGTCCTTGTGAATGCAGGGTGGGGACAGCGGCTGGATTGGATCCACACTGCAAGCAAACATCTTTCTCAGGCAACTGCTGCTGATGGCACAGGGAAAGCAAGGTCGTGCTCATAAGATGCAGAAGTGATGACATTTCTGGGGTTTAATTAACTGCCAGGACAACTTGGGGGTAGTACAATATGAGCACACAACATAAAAACAAATCCATACTCGTGGATTTGTGCCCATTAGTAGAAGCTAAATCCTGATCCTATCAGCTAGATATTTTCTTTAGATCTGTCTTTTAATACTTCAAAGTATAAAGCAAATTTTCCTAACAGGACAGACACTCATGGACCTCATCTGAAGCCCGACATCACTGTTGATATAAACAGATTTAAAAAGAGCAATGCAGATGCAGTAGGTATTAGTCCAGTTGTGTAATGTGCAGGCAATCAAGAGGGCCAGAAGGATATATCCTGATTGCATAAGTGAACCTAACACCTTTTGTTGCAGTCAGTCACTTTAAACCCTGTACCCTGCTAGGACCTCTGGGGCCTGGAAAGCATGGAGGAGGTCCAGAGAAGCTCAGGAGCATTGGTCCTTACATTAGCATGGCTACACACTTCCCTTCTGTCTCCCCCTTCACACTCCCTGTCACAAGAAGGTGTTCTTCACCCCTGGGAATAATAACAGGTTTGACTCACCAGGGCCTGACACACGTCCACCATGAGGTTACCCTGTGCAGGGGGCTTTAGTGCTCATGTTGGGAGCTTCAAATCTGTTGCTTGATTGCTGAGCCTTGTCTCTCAGGCTGTTTGGAACCCTCCTTTAAACATATGCTATATTGTTTCAGGTGTCCAAGGTTTTATTTTACTTCTCTAGTAAATATCTTCCAGCTCCTAAATGAGAACTTTGGGAAAACTGCTCCCACAATGCAACTTAAAAATCACCCTGCAGAGACCTTATGTTCCTCAGCTTAAATCCAGCCTTCAGTGTGTCTTGAGTTATGAGGCTGTCCAGACCACTAATAGAGGAGCAGGGGAATTTACACCAAAAGGAATAAACAAGCCAACAATAAAAATAACCATTTATCTCTTCTTCCTCCCCAGTGTCTTACTCAAAAGGTCACTGTGTTCTTTCATGGAAGCAAAGCTCTATAATGTGAGTTTAGGCACTTTAGGCTAAACCCCAGAGTACTCATTTCCCCCAAGAAACTTTGGTGCATTTTCAGTTAGATTTTTTTTCCCTTAGATAAGGTCTAAGAAATAACCAGGTTCTCCAGAACAGAGCTGGTAGTCAGGCCAGTGGGGCACATGCTGAGGGGCTCCCCAGTAGACTTGGGGTGACGTATGGCAAAGTGCCAGCCTCGCTTCCCTCCTCTTCTTCAGATGAGATTTGCTTGCAATAGCCTCAGCTCAGTGGACTAAAAATGGAGGTTACAGGAGGGTACATATAGCTCCCTGCAATCTTACACAAGGGCTGAACAGACAGGTAGCTGGCAGTGCCCAGTTTAGGAAAGCAAACCTCTGCCCAAATCATCATGGTAGCTTGTTTTGCCAAGCAGAAATTCTAACACCATCTAAAAATATGCATAACTGTTTAGGAAGAGCAGGACATGCATTGCTCCCCAAAAATTTTCTCTTGCAGAGCTTTCTGTAGATATCCAACTGCCTTGTAAAGATGTCATTGCATGGGACAGCTACTGCCATTGCTCTCATTTCAGTGAGATCTGGCCCCAAGTCTCTCCCTAAGATTGTCTGCAAACAGGACAAAGTGTTTTATAGGGTTCAGTTTGGCTCAGAAGTTGTTTGGGATTGCCTGGAATTTTGGTAAATGCAGATCCTGCAGCTCAGGGTCCCTGGCTGCAGTGACATTGGGCAGGAGTCCTGCTGTCTTCCCAGGTTCTGCTGCTAGGAAAAATAATACCCCATGCTTCTCCTGCACTTCCAAATCCTACAGCAATTTTTGTCAATGTCCACCATTGTTTAAAACCCCTCTGGACTCCTGCTGGGGACATCATTTCTCTCCAAGTTTCATAGGCAGCAGGGGTTTCTTCCTGATTTTAAAGGGGGCTCCCATGGATCATGAAAAACCTGTGATGTTGCTAACACAAGCCTTATCCTGTTGTCCTGTAACACACACAAGAGTTCACATCTGAAAATCCAACTGGCAGTCTGAGAAACCTATGGGCATTGTGAAATGCTCTGAATCTGAGAGAGACTTGGCAGGTCATCCCAGGAGATCACTGTGAGCAAAGCAGTTCCAGTATGAGCAGTTCCAATATGTTTGTTGGAAAACAATGTCTTTCTGAAAGCTTGCTGAATATCTGCTCGTTCTTAGTCCTCAGAGGCCATATTTGACCTGTGGTAGCTTGGACCAGGGACATGCAGGCATTTCCCCAAGAGGTCAGGCTGAGCTGACTTGGGTCTGGGCACCCTGGAGCAAGTCAGAGCAGACCAAGCAACCTCTGCAGAGGCATGTCTGTGTCACCATGGCACAGGAGAACACTTTATGTTCATCAGCTGTGCCTGTACCACAGCTAACATCTCCTCTTTTTCCTTTTTAAACACAGAAGAAGGGAAAAGAGATATCATTATTTAACACACTAACAGAATCTTTTATATAAAATTTACAAAACAAGTGGGTGCAAGTTATCAGCAAGATGGATACAAAGAAAGGGCCTTCAAGTCCAATGGAGGAAAACATTCACCATAATGAATACACACACAATAGGTACACCACCTATCCATCTCAAATTGATTAGTGAACCAAAAAATTAATTGTAAAATGGGTAAATAAAAAGCTGGAGATTCACTGAATTAGAATACAGTGTATGCATTAAAATCACTCAGTGTATTTTCAGTAACTACAAAATATTATCTTATTTTTTGCCTGCAAAAAGCCTTAATAACAACATCTCTTTGCCACTCTCAAATACATTGATCTGAAGGATTGGGGTCGATCATAGGGCAAGAGTTTGAGGATTTTACTCCTCCTTTTACCACTGATCGATTGTGTTAACAACCAAGGCAAGTCAGAATTCTGATACATTTCACAGTTTCCCTTTTTTAAGTGGGATAATATTTCTTACTAGTTTTTGCAGAGCAGTCAGAGATCTTGGGCAGAAAGCAGATATTTAAATGCCCTATGTTATTATTTTAGGCCCTGATTCAGGAAAACATATATCTTTAAATCCTGCTGCTTTAATGGGTCGCAAGCACCTATTTTAGGCTAAGCTCACATTGATGTGGTCTTTCTGAAAAAGCTGCCCTAAAACTTTTAATTATCCCTATTATAAATATAGCCCGTTGAAGCTTATTTAAAAAGATAATTTCTAAAATAGGGGGGGAAAGTAGTGAATTAATGGCAGCTCAGAGTATTGAGGCATTACCTTACGTGCTTTATTCAGATGAAAGACTCATGCAGGAGTACCCATGCCTTTTTGATTAGATGCATGCAGCAGCCTTTAGGTCCCCTTCAAAGATCCTTGGGCTGTACGGAGCTGGGAGCAGCTCTGCATTGACATCGGGGGGAAAAAAAATAAAAATCAAACTCTTTTTCTCAGAGCCTGACTTACTCCCCCCCAACCCCCCCTTTCATATTTGTATATATTTCGAGAGGAGTCAGGCTTAGTTTGTTCATGAACTGCAGTTCCTGGGCGGACCCCACGCACAGCTGGGCTTTGGGGCTGGATCCGCCTCCCCGGCGAGCCCGAGCCGGGAGCCTCGCAAAGAGGGGCTCCGGGCTTGACAGCAGGAGCAGAGAGCGGCTCCAGCGAGCGAGGATGAGCTGGGCAGCGCCGTGGAGCCGGGCTCCTGCTCGCCAGGGCGATCCAGAAATGGGCTACTGGAGGAGACCGGGTCTGCTTCCCTTACTGCTGCTCTCCTTGTGTGAGTAGAAAAATGCTTCTGGGCAGGCAATGTTAAGCAACATACTCGGAGAGGTCGTTTATTTTTCCTTCCTCCAGCAAAACAGCTAATCTTTGATTTCTCCCCTGACAGCAATTAGCCAGAGGATTGGAAATAGCAGAGACTTTAGCTGAATACTCTGCTACGACTGCATGAGCTGCGTATTTCTCTTATGGCGAGGGGCAAGCGATTGCTTGGTGGAAAGCGCTGCGTGCTCGCTTGGAGCAGCTCGCAGATGTCAGTGTTTACAGTGCAAAAATATATATATAGGTCAGCATTACTTGTTGGAAGTTTTTATTTTATTGAGGGAGATTAAACGCAACTGAAGTGCACCGCTGAACGATCTGGCTTCGACAGTGTCCAGATGTGGTGAAGTTTGCAGCTTAGAACTTTTATCAGCCCTGCTTTATGCGCAGAATTAATCGAACTATTAAAGAAGGAAAGAAGTGGGGAGGGGGGAGGAGAACTGTCTTTGCAACAACATCTGGTTATTCGGCAAACCTTTCCAGCACTTACGTAAAGATTTCTTTGTAATAAGTGCCCTGTTTCAGTTTTGATATCACTTCTTCAATACTGTAGATAAAACCCTCCAGCAGCACTTGAAAATGTGCCCATCCATGGTTTAACTTTTTCTTGTTTATATCTTGATGATTGTTTCATAACAGGGAATGGATTTGTATATAAGTGAGTGTTATATACACATCTCCTAAGTATGTGTGTGTGTCTTTCTATATATACAGAGTCTGTGTATGTGTATACAGGCATATATCCCTACAAAGCATGTATTTATATGTTTGCATGGACGCTACTTTTAAAAGTGAACTCTTACAAACACAGACCTGTTGCCCTTGCTATAGAAATTTCGATGCAACTAAAATGACTTTTTGCTCAAAATAATGAAGGAGGATTATAATTCCAGTATTTTTGCATCCCAATGAAATCACTGGGGGCAGGGATCTGTATCTGCATTCACTTTACATGGGTCCCCCTATCTACAAGACCAGGGAATAAAAGAATGATTGGTCAGTAATTTGTGTGTAGGCAAACAAAACCATGGGTGCAACTGTTGAAGCAGAGAGAACCAGATGGGGAGATTCAGGACATAGTATCTGGTGGATTTTTCAAAGTTATGGAGATCTCTACTACTCATTTTTGTAGCTATTACCCTGAAGTGTGGTTTGAAATGTAGGATGCTATACTGATAACATCCTGTTAACTTAATCACATTTGGAGCAGAAATTACTACAGGTTATTATTTAAAGCACAGTCTTGGGTTGTTTTTGGTAAGAAAGAAGACCACTAACTATCCTTCAGAAATACCTAATTTTGGAGTTATTTAACTTATGGTTTCCTTTTTCTGAAAGGCAAGGTTTTAATCTGAAAGAAGCCAAACCAAAACATATCACGATTACTAAGTTCATCTGAAAGGTTATGTGAGTGATATGATGACAAAATTTGCCTCTGCACAGGGTAAAAAAAATAAGCCAGGGCTTGCTCTCTGTGATTCAGCTCACCAGTGATGTTTTCTGGGACTACATCCACTTCCTCTGCATTTAGTGTTAAGATTGACCCTACAGTCATTCTGAGAAAGTAAAAATACCCGAGGAGGCCACTTCACATTGACATTAAAAGAGAAGGCAAGATCTAGTTCCCCAAATTCCCCAAACTGACAGAATATGCACATTCAGCTGTTCTTCAGTCAACAAATCATACCACTCATCCAGCTTCTCTTTAATGAGTGACAGCACTGGCTTGGTGGCAGCAGCAAAGTTGCTCCTCTTAGTACAGATTTAAGACTTCCACAGAGAACATGGCTCAGACTGTGTCTCTGTTATCCCAGAATAACTCCAGCTGAGCATTTGTAGGGACCTTGCTGCTGTCCCTAAGACTTTACCCCAGGGTAGCAGAGACCCCAGCCTATGTTCCATGCTGCCTGTCTATGCCTTTAATCCCCAACTTCACTGAATGGCCATCCCACAGCACATCTGACCATTTCAGTTCATATGCAGTGGAAAAAGGGGCTCTGATCTGATAGAACACTGAAATTCAGCAAGTGAATTTCCCTAATTCTCCGTGGATAGCCCTACCAAGGCTTCAAAATACCCACTCCTAAACTTCTCCTTGATTGCAGTGCCTGCTGGAGGGCAGCATTTTTATATGGCTTTTTCATCAGAAGGTGAAGACAGGAGCTGTAGTTTCACCACTGCTAACACAAACCCTCACACAGATGAGCAGAGAACCCTTCCAGGACAGAGAGCTGGTGCAGTCCTGGACATAACTGGACTAGGACAAAGAAAATATGAGGATCATTGAGAATTGGAAAACTGTCATACAGGCAGGTGGAGCTGGAGGCTTTCAGTGTCTTTTGGTTGGCCAGGAGAGAGCTGGGAGGTGAGCTGGTCATCTATGGCCAGGTCTTGGGAAAACCTTTTCTGGCAGTGGTCTTCCTCTTCTATGGAACGGAGATAAAACAAGATGTGCACACTGGAAGCTAAATGGGGCACAACACAGTAAAGTTGTTCCAGCAGGTAGTTACTCAGGTTTGGGATGTGGTGGATATTTGTTGCTCAAAGCCTTCAAGATTGCAAGACTACTACATGCTTGGAAGTCTGTAACCTATACAGAAACTACAGATTTGATGTCAGGATTACTGTATTGTGCACATGGAAATGCTCTGGCCTTAAAAGTAGGAATTAGGAGCTTTCCTGCCCTATTTTCTATGAATATTGGGAAATTATCCCTTGTGCTCCATCTGTCAGGAACAGGGCTTGTATCCAGCATGGGGCTGAGCTCAGCTTCATCTCACAGAGGGGACAGCAAAGCATCACAACCCTCTAACCTGTGGAGACTGCCTCAAGAACATGAGCTAAGTGTCACTGGTGTGACAACAGCTCTCAGGGCTGTGAAGAGCCGCAGGAGCCTGGCAGAGCCTTTGTGCATCCAGCCTCCAAAAGAGGATTTAAAACTCCAAATCTGCCAAGGCACGTAGCACTTACCAAGGGAGAGCAAGCCGTACCCCTTGGGCTCTGGTGAGGTTCCAAAGAAAGAGAAAGAAGATTTTTGAAGTGAGGTGAAGTTGCAGGTCTGCTACCCCAAGTCCAGAGTTCCCAGTTCCTGGGGTTTGAGTTTGCTTTACCATAATTTGCTTCCCCATTTTTAACAGGTCTCCTGTTAAAAATGCTGGTCTTCTAAAATATCCTAACATTTTTTTGCCAAGTCTCCCTTTGCCATGGTTGATAGCTCTACAAAGAGTGCATTTGAGGGGTTATCTCCTGATAGATGGTGACCTTCTGAAGTCACATGTTCTTTCCTGCTTGCAAAAACTGTTCCCCCAGTGAGCCTCTTTAGCTAAATATATAGAGCGTATAGAATTCATAAATCAGGACAGGGAGCTCCAGGGCTGTCAGAAAAGCATCTCTGGCTTTTGATCTGCCCAAGAAATCCCTGACCTATCCCAGGCTCCTCAGGCAGCTTGTTCAAGAAGTTGGCCTCTTATTTCTGAGGTCACCAGAGCTAAAACCAGAGGTTTTAGTGCCACCAAAATGCCAGCCTGCTCCTCTGGCAGGGGCTCTATTGGGATTGCACCCCAACACCAGTGCATGCAAAATTTAGGAACACTGGGTCAAACAGTGAGAAGATGAGGGAAGGAAAAAGACAAAGGAAGAGTCGCTCTGCATTTCACAGGCATTTGCAGAAAGAAGCTGTGCAGGTCCAAGGATGAGCCAGAGCAGCAGAGCAAACCTCTCCTCCCAGGCTAAGCAGCATGTGGAGGTGGGCACTGCCCACCCCAGGACACAGGGCTGCAGGACTGGTCATGACAATCTGTGTCATATTGATTTAATACAGCCAAAACAAAGGAAGAAATTACCATCCTCAAAAGCTCCAAGGGGCTACCAGAGCCCCACATTGGCTCGGTGTAGGTAGCTGGGTTGGGAGCAGGCACAGGATCCCACTGCCTCAAGGAGAAACTTGTGCATCTTACTATAAGGCTAAATAAGAGCAAAGCTGCAGCAAATTCTCCAGCTAGGAAATAAAAATGGAAGATACAAGAAGAACCCTGACAATGCAGAACTGGAGTGCTCTGCAATGTTACAAGTGCCATGAGACTCAGAAAGGAAAATGATGGCTTATTTTCAATTCACCTTTACACACCTCCAAATCTGATGCTACGTTTTCAGTCCTTGGTGTGAATTAGATTAACTGAAGTTTAAGAAGAGTGGCAATGTACAGCTATGTGAGATGAATGAAAACTGCTATTTCCTCTCCCCTTGCACCTCCAGCTTTGCTCAGACTTGAGACAGGCTAGTCGTTGCTATAGCTGACCATCAGTAAAGCTTCACTCTGTATTTTTGAGGAAAGAAATACTTTCTGAAATATTTGGTACAAACTGAAATTACACTACACAATTTTCTAACAATAAAACCCCAACAACAAACACAGAACTGATGTTTACTGACAAACACAGAACTGATGTTTACTGGTATTTTACTGGTGTTATCACTATTTAATGATGGCCCCAAAGACATTTTTGTGTAGTAGTAGTAAATAAGTCCAGCCAGCTGAAATCACGATACTTGTTACTCCCATTAGAGTTCTGCACAGATGTATCCCACATATTCACTGAATATGCAGAAAGCAAACACTGGCATTAAAAACAGGTGACTGGGGCCTTTTATTCTGAGAAAGAATTCCACTCTACTGCCTGTACTCTGCAGCTTTATATTGCTCTGTGATTTGCTCTGTCGAGTTTATTTCCTCAGGACATCGTTTTCCTCTCCCCTTAGTGATAACTCTTTGCAATAACATTTGCTTTCAGCCAGGCTCCACAGTGTTGCAACTTGCCATAAACTAATGAACTCTCCCATAGACTGTCATGTTTTCAAGGAAGTGCAACATCTGATACTTTTATTAAAAAAAAACAGTCCCACCAAGGAGACAAAATCAGCAGCTCCCACACACTCTGCTCTTTTCACATCCCGAGTTCAGCGCCGTGTGCCAAGTGAAAGCCTCGTGCTGGAAGGGGCCTCCTTGCAGAAGGGAGATAACACCACTGATGGCTGCCTGCCCTATCAAACCTACATTATATCCGTGCTGGACCCCAACTGTGGGATAACATTTCCTTAGGGATCTTCAGGGGGAAGTGAAGGAGTGGCTGAAAGCTGTCTTGGCCCTGCTTGCATGCGTGTCCCTGAATTCAGAGTCAACTCTTGTGATCCTGCCTCTGGAAATGATGTGTAGTGGACACATCAGAGTCGTATTTCTTCTTCTTCAGTTGGTTCATCTTTTTGTTACTTCCCATGTAGGATTGAAACACTGCTGCCAGTTTCTGGTAACTGTCAAAATTTTAGGAGAAGTGGGAGAGCCTTCTTATCGTGCAATCCTCTCTGCAGCCCATGCTCCTACCAATTTTGAGGCTCCAAGACTTCAACTTTCATGGAGCTGTTGCACTGCAGTGTTTTCCTTCCCATTCATAAGCCAGGAACAAATGACAGCTGATTTATACTACAGCAAATTCATTGTGGCATGTGGGTCATTAATGTGTCCAGCTGTGACCACAGCCTGCCAGGCTGTGCTGGACACAAAGCTATGGCCCATATGGACTCTAGCAGCCCAAGGTCATGCCTAAACACAAGTGCTACCTTGGACTACACAGGGTTATTTGTATTCAAGATTTTTTTTTTTTTAAGGATGTTATCACTATTTGAGCTGAGTGATTTGAAGCAATCAGCCTCAGCATGCTGTAGTTGGGGGGCTGGTGTGAAGTTCCAGCTATAGTGGGTAGCTGAGGTGGGGTTCCAGCAGTGGCAGCTGCAGAGTGCCACTTTGCAGGGTCCTGTGCTCCAGTTCTACCTGTGCCTCTCTTAAAGTGACCACAACTCTCAAAGCAGTTGAAGCAGCATCACACTGGACACATTCCGCCTGCAGGAAGACGTCCCACCTTCCCACACTGTGGATGGAGATGTTCTCTTTAGCTCCATGTCAGTTACTGTACCCAAAACTCCAGTCTTTGTGGATAAGTAGATGTCCAAAGAAAGCTGTCCCCAACAGCTTCCACCTTGGCTCCAGACTCAGTGCTGGTGAGGCGTGAAGGTTTCTGGAGGAAATTCCAGACTGCCTTCACTCAGCCTGCAAAGAGCATTGTCCTGCTCATGCAGCACCCAATGGCAAGTGCTCAGGCCGTGCCACAGAGCTGGAGAGTCCAGACTTCCAGGACCATCACACACCCCCTAATTCATGCCCTGCACACAAAGCAGCACAAAGGTGCTTGTGCCAGCCATGGGAGCAAGCACAGCCATGGCAGCCAGCAAACAGGGCTGGTTTATTGCCCTGCTTTGGGGTCCAGGCAGGGCAGAGCCCTGAAGCAATCACCTGAGCTGACACCCGCTGATGTCTGGTATTGCTCCACTATCCAAATCTCTCCTCATCTCTTCAGTTCCTGCAACATCCCTGTGAAGATGTTCCCTTTAGCAACAACATGCTTACATCTTTGCCTCTGGAAGGTCCAGAGACACCTGCTGGAGTTCCTGGCCATGAAGAGGGGCTTTTTCTTTCTATCAACAATGGAAGACCCTGGGATTTTGATACTGATCGATTCTTCCTTCAGCCATTCCAAACCAGAATGCTTAGCCATATCCAGCATTGCCATAGTTCACTGTGCACCCCATCAAAAGATGGTGTTGCCAATGTGGATTCATACCGTGACGAGCAGGTGTGAAAATCCAGAGAAAAATTTCTTCACATTTCCTGCAAAATCAGGATGATTTATCCTCCTGAGTTACCAGGGGGATTACTCAGGCCCCTTCCTGGAAATGGTTCTTGGGAGTGCCATGACTACAAGAGCTTCTGGTGCATTTACAGTGAGCACTGGTACAGATATTTCTTTTAAAAGATCCTTTGCTGCTTCCAGGTGGATTGTTAAATAAACTGCTGTCCATGCAGAATGAACGCCTGTGTCCCCCTTGAATGTTTGACTGAGTAGGTTGCCAGTCAATGCAGCTGGAGCATGATGAGGAACATCTGTTTGATGTTGCTTGATAATACTTCCTGCCTTGGAGACTCTAAACAGCAGCATCCAGCATGGAAGAAACTGAATCAGCTGCTGTCTTGCTGTGTAAAGCATTTTTTTCCATGCTAGATCTATCCCAAAATTAGCCTCAACCAGTTCATGATAGCAAAGAAGACCCTTCTTCTTACAGTGGGAAGTGACACACAGACCCATAAGCTCAAGCAGTTGAATGAATCATCCTTCTTCAAATAGACCCAGGGTAAAAGCATCCACAGAAATAAGATCAATGGATCCCCTGGGATCTCAGTTCCTGACATGCCTTTAATATGTCAAAAGGCACTCAGTAGAAGAAAATGTAGACATTCCCACCAGAGGCAGAAGCAATTAGCCTGGGGGTGAGGTCTCAGCAAACATTTGCTGTGGTTTTGTATATGTGCCCTGTGCTCACCTGTTTGTAGAACAGCATCATCACATCTGAGCCTTCCGTCACTCTTGCCAGGGCTATCAGCTCTGCAACAGGCTGTGGCTTGGGAGGCAGCTCTTGGACAGAAGCACTGTTCAGCATACTCAGATTGTGGCATGTCTCAGGATACTGAACTGAAAAGACAAGGCACTACTGCAAAATGATGGGATCGTGGAACAGGAGATGGGGAATAGAGAACATTCCCTGCTTTGTCATTTCTTCCATGCTGGAAGAGCAGCTTTTCCCCCTGAACCTCATCTCCTCCAGCTGCTGAGTTTCCCTGGAGCTGTGCTGCAGCTCTGCCTAGGGGCTGGGACTTGTGGGAATCTTCTCCTTCTTCTGCAAGAGGGATCTCTTGAGAGGCATTGCAAAGACACACAAGCTCCTCTTACTTCTATGTGTGAAGAAAAAGCACTTCAGGCTTTGTCAACAGGACTCTCGGTTCCAATTCCTGAAAAAAATTCTTTTCCAAGCCTGGTCCCCCTGCCCTCCTGCCACAGCTCTCTGCTGCTTTAAAAAATGGAAAATATTCAATTTGAATTCAACCCTACTGAGCAGTGTGTTTTGGTAAGCTTGTGTTATAACTCAAGCTCCTGAAAAGATATTTTTTAACAGGTGAAGAAGGGCATGAAAGAGAAGAAGATGCCATCTACTTATGTGCTAAACAGTTTTAGCATCTGTAACCCAAGCTAGCCTCAAGTTCCCTCTGAGAGAACAAATTATTTAATTACTGTTAGATCTGTCCTAAACGAGGGCAAAATTTGACTCTACATAATAATTTTAGCAGACATAAAGAACTGGCAGTGTTGGAACAAGTTGGTGACAGCACATGGATGGAGAGTTCACAGAACACCTCTGCCCCTGCAGCTTGTGACACTGTCCCTTGCAAGCCCTTTTTCTCCTTGGGAATCAAAGAAATACAAATGCAAAAAACACAAACTGGTCAATCATAGGAAGTCCAACCAGAGATGAAGAGCAGCAGCTCCAGTCCAATGTCTCTTTGTGGGCTCATCAAAGACCTTCTAGCAGATGGGATAGCAAATGTGTGCCAGGAATTTCAAACACTCCTCAGGAGGTTCATCTAAATCATCAGTAGCCCATTTGCACTTAAAACAGAGCAAACCCTGGTGCCCAAATGTGACCCAGATAATGTTTCTGACGTGTTTACCTATTTGGATGGTATCTTTCCATTTCAATTCCATCTATTCATGGAAATCCAGGATTCATGCAGAGCCTGAAAAATACACAGAAAATTGAATTCCAGAGCATAATATGATGATAATAGTAAAAAAACACTGTCTGCTGCACAGTAGTTTTACTTGAATGGTAGGTTAACAGCAGGCTAGGCAGAGCAACGTCTGCTACTGACTTGCAGCTCACATGTTTTTGCTACTTGGTTGATTGCTGCTGCTTTTTCTGTGTAAAAGGGGGAACTCATGACTGCTGCATCCGAGAATGAGCTGCAGAAGCTGCAGTTAATTGGGATATAGGATAGACTGGTGATGCCTCTGCAGAAACAAGAGCAACAAAAATGATGGCAACAGCAGAGTGGATTTGGTTGACTGTTGCATTCTGCCATGCAGCTCTCAGTCCTAAAAGTGCTCTAAAATCCTCAGCAATTTCTGCAGCAAATTGCAACAGGATGAGCTCAAACCACCCGTGTGTGGCCATGCAGTGACTCCTGCTCCCCAGCAGTGTGGGAGGTGGGAGAATGGATTTATTTTTAAGACTAAGAATTTGGTCAAAACCAAATCACTGCAAAGTGCTCTTCAAAGGGCTGAAATCTCGGAGCCCTCTGAAAACATGGCATGCAAATCCCCAATCATTAGAAGGCAACATCCACTGGGCATGTGCCAGCTCAGCCCTCTGCAAGCCCCACTGGCAGCCCACTCACCCCAGGCCGTGATGTGCTGATAGTGCATTGCCTCACCCTGCAAGGCACAGATAAGCAGAGGTGCTGGCAGAACTGCTAAAATTACTTATGAACTGCTGAAACTCAGCATTTCCCCACCTCTTCAGACCCTGAATAAGTTGCTTTGCTTTCCATCTGACAAAGAAGAATGGCACACTCCCCTCACGCGCTGTCTGGGCTGGCGGGAGGTGCTGTGGCAGTGGGGCCATGCTGTGATGCTGGTGATGGTTCACCACACTGTATCCATGGTTTTCTCTTGGGCTGACCCCTGGCTGTGGGGTTTTTTTCCTTCCCAGGCACTTCAGGCTGTGCTGCTGGCTTGGTTTGCTTTCTCTAGGGTTTTCCAATACAACAGGGTGGAAAGGCCAGCAGAATATAGTAACAAGAAAGAAATGAGGACATAGATGCAATGAAAGGGATTTGTCAAACAAGGTTGCACCTTCAGACACAGAATGGCTGCAAAACTTGGTTTGTGTCATAGCTCCCCTCATCTGACATTCATAGCCCAGTGGCTGACAAATGCCTAAAGGGATGAGTACAGGTATTACCAGGCAAACTCACACCTGCTTTTGTCTGCCAGGGAAGCTTTGTCTGGCCTGGTCATGGCTCTGGAGGTACTGACCATAATTACATAATGACCCACAGTATGCAGCAGGTAGGGATTAAAAAAACCCCACTCTCAAGCTGCAGTCCTGGGCAATGTGAGGAATTCCTGTACTAACCTTCTGTTCTAATCCTCAACCGTCCTTTGAGCTGTCTTTTCAAGGAAGGGTGCAAAGCATCCCTGCTCATCTCACAAAGGAATGAACTAGCTCCAGCAGAGGGGACAACCCCTAACTTTTGAGTTTTCTCCTTGTTTTAGGACAGCTTTCCTCATCCAGCAAGTCAGGACAGGGATAGGTGCAATGGTGACACCCACATGGAGCTGTGAGCTTGCCCACCAGCACTGCCCCCAGGGCTGTCCCATCCTGCCCCTTCACCACCCTCATCTGTCCCTGGATCACAGCTGGTGCCACCTTTATGTTCAAATTCCAGCCCAGCAATTGGAAAATGATGTTACGTGGTCCATGAGCCCAACCAGGTCTAATACAGCATCTCAGCTTAATTGGACTTAGCTTCTTGCCAAGGTGAAGCAGGTGCTTGGCTGCCTCAGGGACTGACTGAAAAAATAATGCAAATAACATGCAACCAGGTAAGCCCCAGCCACCAACTTTACTGATATTTCAGTGAAGCGTGTCAGTGAAGTGGATCCAGAAACACACACATCATTTTCAGACATTGCTGAAAGTTTCAAAGACACTGAGAAAAACAAATGAAATAGTGCAAAGCCACTACTGTTTTATCCCTTCCACATTCCCCCATCCTCAGCTCAACATCTCTGGATGCAAACTGGTGTTAATGGGAACAATGTTGTCCATGACACCAGAAAGCAAGTGGTCCTGAAAGAGCTTGAGTTCAGAGTCTAATGGGGGTATAGTTTTTGCCTCACCTGATATTTACAGTCCTTCCAAAGCTCAGCAAGGGCAGAACATCTTCCTTGCCATGTTGGGCTGGGTCCTGCCGGGCTTCAGGACCTCAGGGCTGCAGGGTTGGCTTGCCTGATTTTTCAAACTTTAATGCCAAACTTCCTTTAGGGAGCAACTTTCACATTTTGAGTTCCTTAGCTGAAAGACAAAAAATAGGCAAGTGTTACCCATTTCAAGGCACAGCAGAAATCAACAAACTTGCTTAAAAATATTTAAGTTAAATAAACTTCATCTTAATAATTTTTCCTCATAACACACCATCATATTCTATGTGCAATTTTTCCATAACTCTTTTCTAATGGGTTGCATGAGAGCTTGGATGCAAATTAACCACGAGGAGATGGGAAAGATCCTCCAGGAATTGCACTGCATGTGGAAATGAATTTCAATTTAGCCACTTCAGAGCAATTTTTTTGTTTACTTTCCACTGACATGAAATCAGCCATGATTGCATCGCATGCGGGATTGGTTAGCCAGTTACATAATGCTTAATAAATCCAAGAGAAATAATATAAAACACATCACCCAGTCTGGGAAGAGGAACAGTAACTCAGTGAGTGTCACCAACCCGCCCGGACCAGGCATCAGTGAAGCATCTGATCCAGTGCCGGGGGGATGCAGGGTTGTGCTGTCGCATGATAAATGTGATTAGGAAAAATGCTTGTGGCACGTGTGGAGGCCTTGAGGACAGACAGATTGTGTGTGATGGTGAGGGTCTATCAGGAGAGCTGCCACCCCCGTGGGGAGGGCAGCTCACCCCGTCCTGCGGGCAGGCGCTGCTCGCACGCCCGGCTCCAGCTGGATGTGCTGCTGTGTAAGGTATTACCTCACCCAGTCCTGTTCCTCCCAGTGCTTCGTAAAATCATAACGGCCCTGTAAACAAAAAGAGCAAGATTAGCTGATTAATTATTTACCACAGATGATTTCTGCAGTGGCGTGTGGAGGGGAGAGAATGTTTCACTGGCGGTCCCTGGGCAGTGGGAAGGAAGGGAGGTGACCCAGGACTGCCAGGCTAAACACAAAATGGTAGTGCTGATTTAATCCCAAAAAAACTGGGGGGTGTAGAGAGACTGAAGGTACCTCTGGCTGTGCAATGCCAGCACTCTGGCTCTCCCAGGAAAGCTGTCCAGTTCTTGAGTGTATTGCTCCAGGCACACACCACTGCTCTGCCTGGAGCAGCTCTTGGCCTCCTTTCCCACATTTCCCTGCCTGCTCTGCTCCCCCGCTTTGCTTCTAGTCCCAGAGGAGACCTGCTGATGCCTTCACCCACGCCGTGGCTAACTTCCAACCGAGGAAAAGCTAGGGATGAAGGGGTTAATTACTACAGGCACAGCACAAGCCAAGTCTGTAAGTGACTCCCTATTGCTATTTCGAAAAGAGGCTGCCTGGAAAGGGAAAGGAAAAAAAAAAAGAGAGGTTTACTTTACAACCATCATTATTTCATCTGGAGAGTTTATACAATGGAAAATAAAAGCCAGGGTATGTGAAGTCAAATAATTTCTGTTTCATTAATGGTATGGAAGTCCTTTTGTTTTTATAGAGTTAAAACAAATGTGAACTTGATGTGTGCATGTGTGTGTGTGTGTGTGTGTGTGTGTGTGTGTGTGTGAGAGAGAGAGAGCATGCAACTCCCTTCTTTGCAAAGGGCATAGCAGTGAAATCCAGAAATAAAAAATGACTCAGAGGCTGTAGGACCTATGAGTCAGTTGAGCTGTTGTTGTTTTTAAACACAAGCAAGAGCACAATATGGCAAATAATTGCCCCTGCAGCCCCTCTGCTGGCCCAGGCTGCCCCCTGCCAGCCCCCAGCGCTGGACACTGACCGACCTGGCATCCCCACCCCCAGGGACACAAAGGGCTGGAGGCAGGGCTTGTCCCAGCAGGGGCAGCTTTGGGGGACAGAAAGTGAAATCTGTGAAAGAAACTTGAGATCCAGTCAGAGTGGATGGAGGAGACAAGTGGCCCCAAGGAGTACAGGGCCAGGCACACTCCCCTGTCCTCACTCAGATATCAACTGACCAAAATCAAAGAGAATTGCTCTGGCTGAATTCTCCCTGCCGAGGGCCAGGCATCTCCTCACTAGCCCCTGGCATTCCAGCTTGCCTGGATGCTGCTGGCTTTGTTGGGGCACAACCCTGGGGTACCTCAGTACAAAACATCCCCGTGCCCCAAAAGCAGAGTCACTGTGCTGATACACAGAAAACTTGTGAAAGGCACACGAGAAATACCGGAGATTACCAAAGCAGAAGGACAGACACAATCTGCAGAGCTTGTCCCTCCCCTGGGTGAAGTTAGATCATGATGTAATTTAAGCATCTGAACGAGACTGGAGAAGCCTGCTGTTATGATCCATACCCAATTTACTTTGTAATAGGACTAAGCAGTATTTGCTAAACACTGAATTTAAAGGGATATTTTCACAAAGGAAAAATAAATGGTAGAATAAGTCGGTTACCAGCCTGTTTGAAGAAGGTCCAAGCAAACCAGAAATGCATAGTGCATGTCCTCCTGGCACTGGAAGAACTGGTGTCTGACACAATCAAAATCAATCCTTTTTTATGCACCAGGAAACATTTCTGGCTCATTCCTTGCTCCATGGTGTACTCTGCCAAATTGAGTATTTATTATGCAGGATGATGTGGGACCACATACCTGAGGGTGGAACCTGGGTTGGTCCCCTGATCCAAATGCAGCACTGATGGATTTCCTGGGAGAGACAGTGGCTTGTGCCTTGCAGAGGCAAAAACTGGGATATTAAGATTTTCCAGCTCCATTTGGTCTGCTCTACAAAGATAAAGACAGAGTGTAAAACACATGGATGGAGAAAAGCAGCCTGACACAAAAAACCCTTTGGTTCAGCAGCTGAAAGCAGCACCAGACCCCACCACTGGAGAACAGGAGTCTGCTGGAGGAAACCAAGCTGCACCCAAAATAGAAGTACAACACTTGGAGGTCTGGTTCTGGGGAGATTCTGCAGCAGAGCAGGATGCTGCAACAAGATCAGGCAAGACAGCAAGAAAGCTGCAAGAAATCTAGGATCACTGTTACACAGGTCATGCTGAACAAATTCCATGGGAACTTCTGACCCTGCACAGAATCTCCTGGAAATCAGGGCATAGGAATTACCCTGATGCCCATTGTGGCACTGGTTGTTGCATCATGGAGGAGGCAGCTCAGGAGTAACCTGGTGATGGGGAACACCTGGTGCTCTCACATGGGTCAGCAAGAGAGCAGAGCCCATCAGCTCTGCTGTTGGATTAATCTTAAAAACAAAGTACTGCATATAAAAGGAAGGAATTTGTTTGTTCTCATAATAATTTTATGAGGCTCTGTTATTGCATACTTGTGTCACTAACCATGGATAAAAGCCCAAAGCAAAACCTAATCCTAAACTTGGCGGCAGACGCAGGACTCACCACGAAGCCCAGGCTCACCCAGGTGGGAAAGCAGGTCCCAGTGCAGGTTGTGTTTCCATCAGGGCACCTCTCTGGGGGTTTCCAGGAAGAACAGGGCTGCAGGGTTGAGTTAGAGCTGCTCCCCAGTCCTGTGTTTAAGTGCACTGCTCATTAGAGAAAGCAAAGAGCACTCAGCTCATCTCCCTAGCCTTAGCCTCTCCCAGTGCAAAGCCTGGGGATTACAGGTGGACTGACTTGCATGGAAAAGATGATGCAGGGGCTCCCAGAGCCACTGCAGTAACAGCAAGCTGGGCAGCCCTCTGTGACTGCTGAAATAGTGTCAGCCCCATCCTGGGGTGCTTGGAGATATGCAGAAAAGAGGGGATAGACCTCACTGTAGAACATTTACAATCTAAAACTAACAAATTTTATTTGTCCTTGAGAAATACAAGCAATGTAAGGACAGTTATCACTGCAAGACAGAGCATGATCTGAAGGTCCTATAATAGAGGCCCTGTGTAACAAAAGCCTTGGTCCCCTTCCACCTTGGGAAGTGCTGGGAACAGGGATAAGTGCTGTAGCACCTCACTCCAAATATCTTCCTTTAAGCATGTTTAGCTGTCCAAAAGCACCATGGCAGGGAGAACACTTGAGAACTGAAAGTGTTCATTCTGCCCCTCAGTGAAAATGCATTTCCTGCCCTTGCTTGGGCTATGAGGCACTTTCTCCTTGCCTGTAACAAATGTGCTGTGCCTGCTCCCCCAAGCACCCACCACTTGCTCCTTGGTGGTTCTTCCTCCTTGGGGACCACAGTGTGGGGAAAACTGGAGCCACAGTGAGGTGCTGGGTGACCCACCTGCTCTCTGGGGCTGCAGTGGTGGATAGTGGCTCACAAAATCCCCCTCCATGTTCTTACAGGTGCAGTCCCTGCTGGCAGAAAGCTCATCTGCTGTGGGTGGCTGCTTCTGTGACCGCACCGATGGGACTGGGGTGGAATTCTCTCGGAGAGCTGTTTCAATTACTCCTATATGGGGAAGAGGGTGGGTGATTGACTACAGCAGTGGTGTTTCCATGGGCTTTGCAGGTGGTCAAGCAGAGGCTGTGGAAGCTCTGTGAGCAATGAGAGGCTGGCTGCCCTGACATGCAGGAAAAAATATCCTGGTGTCCTTGGGTGGTGGTATCACCCCTGCTGCTATTGCAGGAGAGAAACAGGCACTTCTGGCATAATTTTTCCATTATTCTCTGACTTGAAAATCATCTCATATTCTCTCAGTAACCTCTCTAGGGTCCCAGTTATAGATACCAGAAGATTTGATCTTGCTCTTGTGCACAGGAGAACAAGCCTTCCTATTGATGGGAAGCCAAGCTTGCTGTGAGCCCACCTATCGGTGACTTCAAACCATCTTTCCAACTGTCATTCCACAATAACTTTGACTAACTGTACTATTTATTGGCTCACATCACATCCTTATGGCTTCAATTTATTTTTGGAAAACTCAACCCACATTTAATTAGTTTATAGTTTGTTCCAAGTTTTGCTTATCCAGCTTTTTTTTTTTNNNTTTTTTTTTTTTTTTTTTTTGAAGTTTGTATTTTGATGTTTAGCATTTGCCTTGGCAACATCTGGAACCCGTTTATGGAAGTGTATTGTTACTTTTACTGCTTGTGCAGCTTTATTAAATCATCCGACTATTAATATTGAAAGTGTTCATCTGGGTCTAATCAGGGCCAAGATGAGTGATGTGGCAGTTAAATTGTACCTACAAGCTAATGGCTCAGGGACACTGTCCTGAAGAACCTTGCTTTGTGCTCTTCTTTTAGCTTCCTAGGACAAGAAGGAGGTGAGGGGAGAGAAAAAAGAGATATCCCTGCTCTTTCTTGCAGAGCAGATAACAGAATCACAGCCTGAGTTAGTTCAGAACAATTTGTCTCCAAGGAATTTTGTCCAGTTACTGCTGTATTTCTGGCTCTTGTTTCCATATTTAACTCCTTCCTCTGTCCTGGCTTCCCCTCTGCACAGCACGGCCACGCCAAGATCCCCAGCACACGCACCAGTGCATTGCGGGCGAGTCTGACGTTCTGCTCTGAGATCTCAAGCAAACCCTTAGATATAAATAAGTAAATAACACACCTGGTGGGTATAAATAGATAAATAACAAACCTCATTCTGCACCAGCAACATCCATGACCTGGATTTGTCCTTTTGTTACTCCTCTGCAGAGCCTCCAGGTGTGCCTGGGGTGATGGTGCTGAGCCAGCCCCGCACCAGCCGTGGATGGGTTCAGCTGAAGGGGTGGAAGGGAACTGTGGCAGTGACACAACCAGAGCACAGGCCTGGGTGTGGTAGGGCTTGGGTTTGGGTGAGAAACCAATTTACCTTCAACTCTCTGTTCCCTTGAAATTACCCAA